TATGCATAATGTCTTAAGATTAATGTGAATATATTTTAAAAGTTTAAATTTAAGTGTTTTATGTCTCACCACACTCAAATGTTAAGTTGTATTTGATTAGTATCGAGTACATCGGAGCAAGCTGTGAATGGCTTATGCAAGCCCTTGATGATGAATGCATATAAATTCTATTCAAAAAGCCAATCACTATGCATAGGCAGAACTTACTTTATAAGGTAGTGGTTCTCACGGGTCAAACCACCCCTTTCCGTGCAATGAGTGAGTGCCCGAAGACAAGGAATAGGAACAATTTGTTATGCATATGCTTACAAATCATGTTATCATTCATATTACTAAATCGAAAAAAAGGAGTTTCTACTTGATTTTATTTAATATCAATCGAGGTTGTCTTAAATGCATGCCATTTTTATGGTTGTGAATATAGTGATTTATGTGATGTAGTTTCGGTTATGAGTTTTGTTTTGAAAAATAGGTTTGAAGCTATTTCCGTGCAATGAGTGAGGGCCCAAAGACAAGGAATAGGAGCAATTTGTTATGCATATGCTTACAAATCATGTTATCATTCATATTCCTAAATCGAAAAAAGGAGTTTCTACTTGATTTTATTTAATATCAATTGAGGTTGTCTTGAATGCATGCCATTTCTATGATTGTGAATACAGTGATTTATGTGATTTAGTTTTGGTTTTGAGTTTTGTTTTGAAAAATAGGTTTGAAGCTATTTCTGTGCAATGAGTGAGGGCCCGAAGACAAGGAATATGAGCAATTTCTTATGCATATGCTTACAAATCATGCTATCATTCATATTCCTAAACCAAAAAAAGGAGTTTCTACGTTATTTTATTAATATCAATCGAGGTTGTCTTGAATGCATGTCATTTATATGGTTGTGAATACAGTGATTTATGTGATTTAGTTTTGGTTATGAGTATTGTTTTGAAAAATTGGTTTGAAGCTATTTAGGTTGGGGTAGAAAGTAGTTTAGTCCTTATGTCAGCCTACTTGTAATCCAGGCAAAATGACATAAATGTAGATATCGATCTATAATGTCGGCAACCCTATCGAATGAATATAGATAAACTGACGATATGGGTACCAACCCTAACCTATGTTAAAATCGTTAACTGACATCATCCAAACTGCAGTTGAAGGTTTAATTGGGGTTCGTTCTTCGCTTTGTGTTTCATCTTCTTTTGGATAGTTTAGATGTTTACAGTCAATTGATCATAATACTTCCTAACTCTATGAAAGAAAAAAAAGACTCAAAGAAAAGATTCTAGGTTACTACAACATCTTTCTTTTATAGCAACCCTGCAAAATAGAGTTAGCACACCCTGATAAAATGTAAAGTAAATCTAAGGCGATAATTTGTGCTTTGTCTTCAGCAGCTCTGCAAAATAAAGTTAGAATGTTTTATTTTAATGTAGGAGAAATAAGTGCATTTACGTTGATTATTAATGAGTTTATTATTATTATTATTATTATCATTATTTTATTTAGGACAACCCGATCAAGACGACCATGGTTTTCTATCGCCATGAGGTTGTCAGGTTCTCTAATCTTCTTAGCCCAAAGAGGCGGTCAAGCCTACTCCGACTAAATGATTCTTGTCAACAAACATGAGCTGCATCATCCAAGAGATCTTTATAGATCCGAGTGGCAGGGTTAAAGTTGCGTTCAATAATCTTTGTTTATTGGGGTTTTATTTATGTTTTAATGCCTTTTTAAATTTTAAAATGTTGAAAATTTTAGGTTGCTTAAGACTTCTTAGCCAATTAATTTTTTGTTTTTATTTTTTATTTTTATTTTATTTTTAATGTTGAAATGGCCCGGTCAAAATCCCACGGTTTCGTCCTCCAGAGGTCAATAGGGTTTGTGGTTTGATTAGTTATGAGTGACCAGAATGTACTTTGTTAATAGTCATGGGTTACCTTCTTCAAAGTTTCTTCTCAAATTAGGTTGTGTTTTATAGTTGAAGCTTAACTTGTAATGATTTTTAGGTGTGTTTTATGTTGTGTCTTTCATGTTAATTACAAATTTTGCACTTCAATCAATATTATCTCTGTGGTTTGTTTTTTAAGTCAAGTGTGATTTTATTCTCTTATGAGAGGTCAGACACTCCTTAACTTTGTTTGTTTAATTTAGCTAGTGCTAATTTTGAGCTAGGTTCTGGTTAGCCCAAATTGGTTGTTTTCGCTCATTTTTCTCTCTTTTATTTTTGAAGGAGTCGTCAGCTTGCAGATCGTCATATACTTCCCTTCTCTGAATAAATCTCTCTTCCGGGTCATATGAATGACCCGAAGAAAAGAGGAACCAAAAAAGATGAACATACGGCCAAGACGACAGACAAGAGAAAAACAAAACTCTGAGAGACTTCGTGCGATAAACTTTGCAATGATATGTCAATTATGTCTGCCCAAACAATATCGGGATGAAACACCTTAAAACAATATCTATGAAAGAATGCTTACGTAGATTTCTCATAACTAGAGGTTCAGGTGTAGGTTCCTGTTATAGGGTCATGAATGCTTCCAATGGGACGCATCTCAACTGGTTAATTACACCTTGGGGGTTGCCCGAGAATACTCTTGATCCAAAAGGCTTGCCTGAGAGTGACAACTAGCACAGGGCTATCGAAAGAGGTTATCTCACAAAGGGAATGCTCTGATGTTTCTAAACCATCGCTAAGTCATTAAACAGAGAGCGAGTCTCTCACATCTTGGGTTGGTAGCGGCTCTTCAGTATATGGAGCCTGCGAAATAATCGTATCATCCCAATGGGGGATTCTGATGCGTCAAAACACATATGGGCCATGAGTATAAAGGGCAAATCGTTTTATTCCAAAATGGTGACTACTCATCAACGATCAGACTATTGAGATGATGCAAACAAAGGCAAATGTAATGAAAGATCTCAACAGGGGTAGTTAAGAGGAGGAGAAGAGTAGTCCTTAGAGGATTGAGGTAATCGGGTCAGGGTACCATAGACCCATCATCCCAAGCTGCTAAGGCTCTAAGTCTACCTGGCCATGAAGGTAGTTGACCCAACACGTCCTGAGATCCCTGATCAGTGATCTGTGAATTGTGTAGTCATTGGGGACCTCGATAGTCCTAAGGTCAAGGAAAGAAAACTCTATCCTACAACTATCAGCTAGAGCTCCAAAAAGTGGGACTTATACCCGCCAAAGTGGCGAGGATGCCTCGAGAAATAAAGAGAAAGGGAAGTTTAGCTACAATGTTGGAAATGCTTTGACAAAAGAACTTACACTCCTGGGTCGGGGAGCCTTTTAACGACCTAGACACATTATACAACTTCTTATGTAAAAAGGTATGTTGGGTCAGTCGGGTTGAAGAAGCACAGAGGCTGCTCCTCAGAACATGCAAATATGATGCAGTTATCTATAGCAGTTCATAGATTTTGTGGAGGCCTATTAAAATGGTTTGGGTGATATTCATGCTATGCAACTCATTTTAAAACCGGATCGAAGGTCATGTAGGAAGGTAAACAACATTTTTGAAAAATACTGAATCTCTTAATCCTAAATTTTGATTTATCTTAAATTTTTTATTAGAATTTTAATATAGAAAAATTATAATTTTAAAGTTCTTAATGAGCTTATATTATAATTTTGTGACATCCTAGATAAGCCAGAAATAAACAAGGAAAACAGTCCAAGTATGTAGGCATGCAATAAGGAAAAAAATAAGCCAAATCAAATAAATAAGAAAGGTCGGTGTCGCTGGGTCGGCAACAAATCTCAGGAAAAGCAAAAAATGCAGTCGGGCTCTGCATATACATGCATTGTCCTAACTCTATATATTACTATCAAAATGCAGAATTAAGATACAAGACATAAGCATTTGCTCATGATCCCCGTCACGTGGTTCCCACGCCAAGCATCTCAGAACATATATTTGTATCTTATTTATTGTACATGACTCTCCTACGACTTTAACAGTACATAGGAAAAAGAGAAAAGACTTGACCTGCATAGAATACAAGTGTTAACGGGGAAAGCCAAGCAACGTTTAATGAGTTGTGCCTGGTGGGGGGAGCTAAGCAGCACCTACAAGAAAGGAATTAGTAGAAATCTTTACATGTTCTCTATTTTAATTTACCTATGTGTGTAGTGGAGGCAGTAAACCGGAAGGATGGGGATGTCGAGGAGGCAGGGGCCCAAATGATTGGTGTGTCGTGGAGGTAGTGACCCAAAATGATGGACTTGCCGAGGAGGCAAGAACCCGACAAAATGATGATCCTCACTAGGGAGAATCATGCAAGTGAAATGTGTGTATGAAAGGACACTTAAAGGGCAACCCAAGAAATTAATAACAATCATGTAAGATGTCACGCAACATATAAAACACAAGAGGTGTTGTGTTCATTCATCTAAGGCATAGGACGCCATTAGAGAGAATTACACATTACCCCAATAGCATTCAGACACACATGCAAATGACAAACACATATAGAGTATAATGCACCACACAAGCAAGCAAACAAAAACATGCACATGCAAAACATGAGCTCATGTAAGTGAGTGGTCAACTGGACCGAGGGAACCATTCGAGCCTAAGTAATCGGTTGACCAGGCCTAGGGGATTGGTCGGACCGAATTGATCGTTTGACTGGGCCTGGTCGGTCGAACCAAAATGGTTGGTTGACCGAGCCAGGGTAGTCGGTTGAACCAAAGTGCTATGTCGAACGGGCTGGGGTTATTGTGTTGTAATAGTTTATTTTTTATTTTGATTATTTTGTTACTCACTATTAAGTGAGATCTTAGTTTTAAATGAAATATTTGAACTTATGAGTTTTTTTTAAGAATTTTGAATGTAATTTATATTTTCATGTACGAGTTATTCAACCTTGAATGATCAACTTATAGGCAACACATTAATACAAGAGCAAAAATGTCTTTTTTTCAAAAATAACTCAAGCACAATTATTGCATAACTATACCAACAGACACAGCTTTCCTGCAATAGCTTCCACGCACAACTGCTGCTCAGCAGCTTTTTCAAACAGTTGCAACTGTCTCAAAATAAACCCTCAGTCCACTTAAACTCCAGTAGAGTTTTTGCAATGTACAATTGCAGCCTGAATAGCATTATTTAGCTCCTCTGATGAGAAGTTAGTCGTTGATGGCGTAACAAGGAGGCTGCTGTTTGCGGGCGACGTCCGAATGGACGCCGGAGCCGACAACCCTTCTTGCCAGCCCCGCTGCCGGCCTTCACCATGGAAGGAAAACTGAGTACTCCGCCTTATCTCCCTCTTCTCTCTCCAATCCTTCAAGAGGAGAAACTGTTCCACCAAGCTTGTATATTTCTTCCATAAGAGGGCGAAGTCCAACAACTTCTTCTTTCTCTGCTTTTCATCCAATCTGTTTTCTTCGCCGTCTTTTTTTCTCAGCCGCTTTCGGAGCCAATAGAAGGGGAAGGCTATGGGAGCACTTCTACGGCCACTGTGGACTGAGGTAGGAACGGCGGCGAAGGCGCCGGTGCCGGCACCGCCGGCGGTGGTGTAGTTGGCCTCACTGGAAGAATTTTTTAGTTATAACTGCTCTTGTTTTTAATTATAAAGTTTAAAATAATAGTATTTTTTTAATTGATATTTAAAGTCAGTAAAATTATTTTCTCATCACGCGTTTTGCATTTAATTATAAAAGTAATACCGGTGCGACTAAAAATATAATTAAAGATATTCATTTCACTATTTTTTTAATAAGAAATATGTTATGATTTATGAACTCCTGGATTCGGAATATATTATTTAATTAAAAAAAATGGTTTTTATAGACATTAAAGGGCTGTTTGGCTGCTTGGCTGCGGCTTGAATTACTATGGAGATGAATTCATGAGGGATGAAAATAAGAAATCCTTAAATTCGAATTTATATGGTAAAGAGACATGAGACAGGAAGAAAGATTTAATTTTTAATTTTTTTGATAACTTTTAATTATAAAAGCAAAAGTTATATTTTTTTAACTTCATAATCAAAATTAAGAAGGAAATTTTAATAATCAATCATATTAAAAAGGAAAAAAAGAAATTTAAATGCGATTTTAACTCAATATTATAACTAAAAGCTTGCACGTACAGTGTTTCGATGGGGCTGAGGGGAGGGAAATTGGTGCTTTGTATGGAGGAGTCGGAGAGGCGATGAGCGACGAAGTGGAGGGGCAGGAGGCGACCGTTGAAGAAGATGTCGTCAGCCGGCGAGAGGTCGAAGTTTAGACAAGAAGACGAAGAATTGCTGAGCTTGCCGCCGCCGCCGGCGGTGTTTGTGCCTGAGATGGAGTTGGGAGCGTGGAGAGAGATTGTGAAGGAGAATTCGTGGGATGGGGATGAGGATAAGCAAGGACGAGGAGGTGGTGGTGGTGGTGGTGGTGGTGATTCCGTCGTCAGCGGAGGTGGCACCGGTGAGGTGGACTCTGTTTCCGGCTTCTCTGCTTTCTTTGGGTAGGATTGGCTTTCCATGGTTATAGGGGGGAGACGGACAATCTGTGAAGGAAATCAATATATAGCGAGATACTTTTTAAGAAAATGAAAATAAATTGAAAAATTATTTTGTTATATTTATATTGGAATTAATTGAGGTCAAGCGCAAGTCAAGTGCGACTTGGGCTTTACTAAGCTGGAAGTTCAACTATGGAGGAATAGTCTCATATCAATATAAAGCATAGAAAGTTCCACCTTATGATAGATAATATTTTTATAATTTTATTATTTTTTATATTAGACAGCATAATTTCTCACTGTGTGGTAATAATTATTTTTATTTGTTAGGGTTGCATGACAACAATTGAATGTATATCAGCTGATTAGTAGTTGTATTAATATTCAAGATCATGAGTATGGAATATTTTCAGTGCAAGGTTCACCTTATAATCTTTTATATCATATACATATGTTAGTCGCAGCCCTCCTTCCCTTAGCCAATGACAGAGTACCAGAAGGTTCTTGCCTCTCGGATAAAGAGGCTCCAGCCGCTTCCCCCATAGGAGGATCGGTCGGCTGGTTACAGGTCTTTGGAGAAGATTTGTTTGATGTGCCAACAACATGGTCGCGCACTGTTTGGAATTTTATGTGGGAGGGCTCCATGTACTAAGTCCTCTAGGATAATCAACAAAAAAGTTTTGTGGCTAGATCTCAAGCTCCTAAAGAAGAGAAACTGACCTCGTTAAAAATGAAGCCAACAGCAGCACAAACAAATACTCTTGAAGAATTATCCATTTCATGACTCTGGATGGCGAAATAAACAGTGAGAATGCGTCTGAAACATTATTTATGCTTCAGGAAAACTTTTGAAGTCTTTTCACGAGGTCTAAATCATCAAAACCATAAAACAGCCCCCTAACAAGGTAGGAGTGACAACACCTAGGCGTGGCCACGCCTACATGGGGATGTGACCACGCCCATGCGTGACCATGCCCCGTTTGTGGCATGGTGACGCGACACTCTTCAATCATTTCTTTTTCAGCTCACTTCAGGGTCTCTCGTTTTCCACCATGACGTCGTCCCACCGGTGGGATGAGCAGTTGAACCGGTTTTAAAACTAAAAATGGCATGTGAGTTATCTAGTGCATTGTCGAATGAGGCAAACAGGAGCAATCACAGGAGTGCTTAGAGAATTTCAAAGAGTTTGCTTTTTCCATTCTTCTTCTTCTTCCTCCTCCTCTCTATTTTCCTTCCTTCTTCTTCATCTCTCATTTTTTTCTCGATCACAATCTCGGTCCAAGAAACAGAGAGGAAGAGAGACATGTGGTGTTGTGTTGGCGCCGGAAAATTCCACCACCAAGGGGAGTGGTGGTTGGTGCTTGGAGCATCGAAATCTCTTCGTGATGAAGAGAGCTTCTTCCCGAGCAATGACTGGCCTTCTATCAACCAAAGCAACAATATAACCCCCTTAAACTTCGCATTTTTCATGTTTTAGAGCCCTTAGACCTGGTTGTTTGTTGTGATTATAGGAGATCGATAGGTTAGGGGCCTTCGTGGATTTTCCCATATGAATCCGAGTGATTTACCCTTGAGCCCTAGCACCAAAATCCCATAAAATACTAGATTGGTCAATCTTGTCATTTGTTCGACGATTTCACTTTGATGGACAAGTGAAATCAAATGATCGAGCGAATGACGACACCCCTTTGGTCGTCATTCGCATAATCACAAAGAGTTCTCATCGTAATTAAATCCTTTTCTCTATGTCGGGCTAATGAGTGGCAAGGTCACGTTGCTTCATGCAATATGACATTGACACCTCCTCCATCGATTCAACCCTAAAACCTACAATAGGTCTTCAAGATGAGTTTAATGTGTTGTCGAGAGTTTTGGGTTGCATTGCATAAGTGTGTACATTTGTTACATTTTTCTATGTGGATCATGTCGCATATCGCATCATTGATCTCGTGAGCATTTCGGTTCAATCAGCTGGCCCGACATGATCGACTCATCACTTTGAGCCTAATCAATTGCCACGACCCAATCGACCTATTTTTCATATCACTTTGGGACTTATCAGTCGACTTGATCTGACCAATCTATTTTCTGAATTAGATCAGCCGCCCTGGCCCGATCGCACGATCTTTGGGTTCAATCGACTACCTCGTGTTGATCACTTGCTTAAGATCTGTTCGGCCATCCCAGCTCGATCAACCTATTTTTTGGGTTTAATCGAAAGCCCCCGACCCAATCACCCAATCCTTTGAATCGAACGCCCCACATCAATCACCTGCTTTGGGTTCAATCGGTCATCCCGACCCGATTGACCCATTTTTGGGCTAGATCAGACGGCCCAGCCTGATCGCTTGATGGCCTCCTCGACCCGATCACTCGATCACTTTGGGTCTTATCTGTCGTCTTGACCTGATCAAGCTATCTTCATCAGTCGCCCTGGCCTGGTCACTCCATCCTTCGGGTTCAATCGATCGTCCCGCATTGATCACCTGCTTAAGATCTGGTTGGCCATCCCAGCTCGATCAACCTATTTTCTGGGTTCGACCGGTCGCCCCCGACCCAATCACCAGATCCTTTGAGTTCAATCGACTGCCCCACATCAATCATCTGCTTTAGGTTCAGTCGGTTGTAATGTCCCGATCGACCCATTTTTTGGGCTAAGTCGGACGACCCAGCCCGATCGCTTGATCTTTTGGGTTTGATCGACTGCCTTGCGTTGATCACCTGCTTTGGGTCTAATCAGTCATCCCAGTCTAATTGCCTTATTTTCTAGGCATGATCGATCGTCCCAGCCTAATCACCCTACTTCTCATGCTAGATTGGCTGCCCAGGCGACCTTTGGGTTCGATCAACTGTAATACTTTGATCGATTGGTCGTACCTGGCAGATCACCCACTCTTTCGAGTCTGATCGATCATCCTGGATCGATCAACCCACCTTTTTGGTTTGATCGGCCGCTACGACTCGACCGAATGATCACTTCATGCTTGTATGTTTTCTTGCATGTGCATGTTTTCTCTGAATGTGTATGAAAAATCATTTTGACATGATAATTATGATTTATTTCATTTCATGTAAAATATGCTTGATGTATATGTTTTGCACATGGCATGTCTTTGATGTCTCCTTGAGCATCCTTATTTAGGGTATCTCTCTGAGCACCTCCACCTTGTGGTGTCTCTTTGAGCACCCACACTCGTGAGTATTTTCTTTACATGTGTTATCGTATGCACGAAAAATAGACACTTTCACATTTTGCGAGGAGATGACTCACATGTCTAGTCACATGCCTCATTCCCCATGAAACCGCCCACAGTGTCGTGGGGTATTTCACATCATGTTAAATACAAGTTATGCTTCAGAGCCCCTGAACTCGTATGAGACACAATATGTGTCGACCTAAGTATGTGATTCTCAGCCGTATGAATCATATGACTTTGTATGTTTGGCACTTTGCATCTTTGCATGTTTGTCATTTGAGTGTCATTTGCATGTTATATGCTCGACATCTATCATATGTATGTTATATGTTGCATATTTGACATTTCTACATTTTCTATGTTTGACATTTCTCATATATTTGTTGCATATCTTGCTTGTGTGCATGTATGCTCGATGAGTGCTTCTCGGGTAAGGTGTAAATGCTTTTTATAAGTATTTATTTACTCAAAGCAAACTCACTCATAGTCGATGTCTGATTGTCGCATGGCACTCTGGGTCCCCCAGGCAGGTGTAATTCCATTCCATATGTAGCTTGTTTTACCGGTCCATCCCTTTTGTGTGTGTCATGTTGCATGTGGGCATCCTTACATTCATTTGCATTATGTGTGTTTTACTTTTTGGCACTCATTGTGATTACTTCGTGCTTCGATCGAACATTCATAATGTGGGTGCTTTCCCATTCGTATTGATGGCTTATCCTACTCGTTAGGAGAGTGAACCATTTGTTGGTCGTGATACTCTGACGAGCATTGTCCGTGAGGATGCCTTAGCGAGCAATGTGAGTTACTGTATAACGAGCAACAAATAGTATGACTGCACTAAAAATCTAAGACTCTAAAGTACGCCACATGCATCACAGAACCACATTTTATGGTTTGTTATTTTAAAGTACAAGAAAATAGATATTTTTTGCTACTATAAGTATTATCCACCTTACATTAATTTTATAAATGTTAGGTCATATATGAGGCAACCTCTTTTAAATGTCACCCCTTTCTTATGATGTGTTTTAGATCCCTTAGATCTTTAGGACAGGGTCAATGTGGCGACCTCGTCAAAGTTATACAGTAATCGGAGACTTTACCCTGTGCGCTTAGAAGCTAGTTATGACACTTAGTTAGATGGTGTGTTAGGCTAGGACTAAGATATTATGTTGTATATTTGATGTCTCTGGCTATAGTTTTCTGTTGACTTGTTTGTTCTAACCAAGTGAAACTTTAGTGCTTTTGGTGTGCTTATGTATGGGGATGTTTGATATGCATGGTAGTATATTATGTCAGTTTTTTACATGGAGCCATGTCATATGTATGCACACACATATGTACAATAAAAAGGGGAGCAAGTGATGATTTACTTGCTAACTTTTGCTTGTAGTTTCTTCTTAGTTCCCTCACTAAGCATGGCTCAAATACATTACGTGCATATAGTTTTTTTGTGCTAACATATTTTCATGCAGGTCGAATATTTTTTTTTAATTTTCTTATGCATGTTTTAGAATCCTAAGGAGAGTTCTTTAGTGGAAATAAAATATATGCACGTGTTTCAAGGTATTTTGTCTTAGGAACCATAAGGCGATGGACCAGGCGCAGCAGCTTGTGTCACGTATCTTAATTCTGTATTTGATATTGATGTATAAAATTAAGGCCAGACATGTATGTACAAAGTTTGTCCGCTCTTTTTTTTTCTGAGATATGTTGTCGACCAAGTGGCACCGACCTTTCTTATTATCTTATCCGCCTTACATTATCGGCTTTCTTGCATGCTTGGATGTTTGGTTGTTTCACCCTTTTTCAAGTGTGGCTTATATGGGAATCACGAATGAAACATAAGCTCATTAGGATTTAAAATTCTAAATTTCCTACAAAATCTTAATAAAATATTCAAGAAACACAGTTTATGCATAGTTGAGCGAACCAAACTGACACCCAACTTCACCAACAAAAGCTTTCCCAAAGTAACTTATTCTACAACTATTACACGTCTGCTTCTTCAAATAATTATTGTTGCCTTAAATAGACCCTAAATCTATTTAAACTCATCAATTGCACAGTTCACATAAACTAGATCAACTTGTCAAGCCACATCATCTTAATGAAAAATTTATTTAGAACTAAATTCAAGTGATCTAAAAATTAACTATTCATAGTTTTTATTCAAATATATAAAAATTTTAAGATATTAAATTATATAAAAACTTTATTCTTTGTCAAATAAATTTATTTATCTCCCATCAAGATCCTGTTTCTATGGTGCTCAGGCTTCCACTCATATATAAATAAATATATATATATATATATATGGTTGAAAAGTTGGATCAAAATTTTTATTGGGATTGAATGTTCCAAATTTAATTTGGAAACACCAATCAATTGTGAGAGTTTGGATTTTTCTGTGTGGTTCAATGCTTTTCCTTTTCAGAATAACCATTCCAATGTGAATTGTTATTGACAATAGCATATTGACATCAAGTGGGCCTTCTTTTAGGCATACATTATATTCATTCCATTTATAAAGTCTATATTAAGACGCTACAAGTATGAACAGCTTGAAAAAAAAGGTGATTAGAATATCTAATTTAAGTATTTCACTATTGCCCATAATTTTAATATTTTAATCACATTTTCTTAGTCACTCGCTCTTCTTGAGTGTGAATAATGCATGTTCATGTCACTAAAATTATGACATTATTAATCACTGCTCGGCATTGATTTGATGAAGGGCAACGGTGATTGTTGGTTCAAACAATAGGAGATGATGAACCTCGGTCAAAGATGTGCTACAATAATTATCGGTCGATGGACAGTCGGCACAGGGGTAGAACTAACATTCATTTTTAGGGAGTGGGATGCAAAATCACCAAATATCTATTTTTTCAAATATTGAGCAAAACAATAAATCTACGAAGAGATGCAAAGTTACAAAATTGTCTAAACTTAACTACATCAGAAAAAAATAATTAAATTCTACTGTTTATATAAAGAAATTGTAAATTTCAGGAGAGTCGATTGCACGCCCAAGGCATCACAAGGTTCTAACCCTACCGACATAAACTCTTCTCCTGCAACCAAAGAAAGTTGAACGACCGACAAAATGAAAGAGAAATTCAAATTGACATCTAAAAGATACAATTCATTGGAGATTCCAGAGAATGTTAGAACTATGAAATTCTCTTTAAAATGTTGAGTTTTCATTTATAAAAATATACCAAAAAATGTATAGAAATTAAACTTATTTATAGATTTTAGGAGGGGGCATTTTATAACAACAAATATGTAAAATCATAAACATAAACAAGCAAAAAATCTGCTAAAAATTTCAATTACTTCAACCTTAATGATTCAAATTTACTCAGTCAAATAACAAAAAAATAAAACAAAAAACAAAAAAGTGTCTACATACAAAGCTGGATCTCAACAATCCCTCTATTTCACACTGCAATGCTATTTACACTCACTCCTGTGTTGAATAAAACCAAACAAATATTCAAAACTAACACAAGCAATGAATGTTACATATGAAAAGGGTTAAAATAGTCCCCTGATTTTTTTGCAGGCAGTCATTTAGTCCCAAAGTCTATAAAAGCATCAATTTGTCCCAAACTTTTTCAACATGGGTTGAAATAGTTCTCACGGAGAACTATTTCAGTCCCAATTTAAAGAATTTGGCGACTAATTTAGCACTATTATAAATTTTGGGACTAGAATGACCTCATGCAAACTGTAACGGGAGTATTTTGACGTTTTACATATATATATATATAGAGAGATGAAGTTAGATGACACAAGAAAAAGGCTAGACATCAGGTGGAGCAATCTCAGCTGAGGATGCTGATCTGTTGGACTGCATTTTTGTGGAGCCTGGGACTTCATTCTCTTGGCAGTATGCAATCAGAGTCTTCACTACGTGTCTGTATTTTCTTCTGTAAGTTGGAAATTTTGTGATAGTTCTGCTCATGCCCACCAGCCTACCAGTATTTAATATTGCATCAAAATTCATTTTGCATACAGTAGAGATTCGGGCGATGCATTATGTGTTTGAGTCTATGTGCGCGTAAGTAAGAATATTAATGCAATTGTTTATAAAACTCGTACCTCCGGCTAATAGCCTGTATTTGAGCCGTCTTTAGAGCATCTTGGGGAGCCACAGATCCATTCTCCCATGATTGCATGCTCACATTATCGCCATTAAAAAGAACCAACTTCTCCAGAAACCTCACCTCCTCCACCTCCAATTTAATGACCTTGATTTGCTCCTTGAGTACCATAACAGGGTGGAAAAACCAATCTAAAAGCCGCTCGTGGGGCCGGTTTTGGTGGTTGACTTCGATGCCATTGCTCAACAGTAGTCCATTGGAACCAGCCTCAATAGAATATAGCAAAGAGTGCAAAAATGCATAAGCAGGCAAACCTAAACCAATAATATCATGTTTGGCTTCTTTAGCCTTTAGCCATTCAGTCAGCTCAAATTCAGTAACTATATTTGCATCGATGACTTCTTTGCCCCGTAGTTCGATGCACTTCATCCACTCCTCCCATATCTGTCGATTAAAATTCTGGAAATTCAGAAATTATCGATAAACATGCACCAAGAGAAAAAAAAGATTTTGGTTCGAAAGGGTGTTTTTTAATGTCAAGTAATGGAAATGAAACAAAACTAGACATATGCGTTAATGCGAATTCCTATGCAAAATAAATTAAAAAAGAATGGTGATTTGTTGAATGTTGATTTGTTTGAGGGCATTGTAAATTGGCAAACTTACTTTCAGGAAAGTTGTCTCCTTGTTGATTTTTATTATCTTTTGAGCAAAAATATGATTGATTCTAGTAAGATCGTCTTCAAATTGGAATCATTTTTGCAGTGTAAATTTAGTCTTTGCATGGCTTTTGTTGCTTTTAAATTTTTCGTTGTTCTTTGATTTAATCAATTCGTTTAACATTTTGACATATTTTTCATATTTTTTTATTGCATTAAAAGATAGTGAATAGTTGTTCTATTGGTGGTGTTTAGAACTGCAAATTCTACAGTTTGTTTGATTTCATTAATTTGCATTATTTAGTTGCATTAGAGACCCTAAACCTTAACAACTTCTACATCAAATAGGTATTAGAGCTTATGGTGTATCATCATATCAAATACAAGGACATTTAATTGGATCAGCAAACAAAAATTCATAAATGATACAATTTAAATGAAGTTTATTGAGCTATGGTACAAAATAACTACAATATGACAATCATAAATTCAACATTATATTATTACATTCAATGAAAGATGTGGTCTTATGGAATTTTTAAATTGGGTTAATGATTAGAATGATTTAAATGTGCTTGATTAAAGTCAGTGGGATATGCTTAATCATTTTGATGAGGTGTTGCAACTAAGTCTACATGATTAATATATAACAGTGCTGAAAACTGCTTCCATATGTCCTGCACACACCTAAATCCACCATTTTAGCGATAGGACCCTAAGATCTCACAATTACAAGATTGCGCTTCATGCATTCTACATCTCATATTTAGTTGGTAACATACTAAATGCCATGAAAATTCACAAAATCTATAAATTCTCATCCCAAAATCTTACCATTTCAACCAGAAGTTCTGATTTATTCATATTGTAAATCTGTGTTACTAGCAAAATCAATAAATTTTAGACCCTCGTGCTCTTATTGTAATGCAGGAACATTGTTGTATCTGCAATACGCTTATAAACTCATTTTATTGTAGCTCTACATTTACATATCAATACAAACTCAAAATAAATTGATACGAGGTATGGAAACCCACCTGCACCATCTTCACTTCTTGGATTGTCTCTCTAACAGATCTAGAAGGGGCCAAGGTAGGCACAAACAGTGCGGGCGCATCTTGACGGACAGAACCATTCTTTACTCCTCTTCTCATGCTCGCTCCTACTGAAGATTCCGATGAGTAAGATCTACTCCTTTGTTGGTATTTTGGCCTGTTCAAGCAATCAAAATCAATTCCATCAAAAGAAGAAATAATTTCTACACTTATATTTTGAGAAATTTACATGCGCTTTCACAATTACATGCATAACATTTTGGTGCTTTAACCTATGCATGAAAAATATATTTCTTATTTAAAAAGTGCGAGTAGTTTTATTTTTTACGTGATATTAATGGTTTGAATGCTGCGTGTAAATATAAAAGTTTAGGTGTGGGACATGTAAATCATAAGAATTGTGTATTATGTAGGTAAATGCCCCTTATATATTTTCATGTCATATCTATTAGGCTTGTAAGTATGCGAAGAAGATGATGATAGACCAATTACTTTGGAAGAAGAGAACCTTCTCGTAGATACAGCCAATCGTTCGTGTATTCATCAAACTCGGCAACAATGGCGACAACATAAGCAACTCCCCTTCTAAAAGATCTTTCCTTATATACAACTATCGAACCATACAAACCAACAAAGATGCTTGATAAAATAGCCAAAAGAATGCTCCCGACAACAATGAGAGGCCAAACGAGAAAGGCCAAACCAGCAACAGGCACGCAAGCCGTTTCAAGGAATAGGCCTTCTCGACTTATAACGTCATGAAGCAACCTTTGCCAGCCCTTAAAAAGCATGTATGGACTTTTTAACAATGCTATGATGGTGTAAAGTGGGACATCCACAATCAATCCCACCAAACCCACAACAATACATTTTGGAATCTCTACCAACCTGCAAAAGGTTTGGAAAACAAAATATTTAGGAATCCAACTTTTGTATGAATTGGTTCATTTTTGGTGAATATTTATATGCAATTTTTGTTAAGTGATTGTTATGCATTTACATATCTAACACTTCGACTTGTACATTTATACCATCCAAGCCTCTCAAATCATATAAATATCACTATTTACATATAAAAAATATCACTATTTAAACTTTTAAAAAGTGAAATACAGCTTTTCATGCATAGGTAAGGTGCTAAAAAACAATCAAAGTTTAGGTGCTAGATATATAAATACAAAGGAATTGAGTGGTATGTATGTATAAATCTTCCAAAAAATCACTGATTGTTTAGCAATGTTTTCAAAAGAGTTACTAACTGCTCAAATGATCAAGCTTATAAACATAAGCTAGACGAGCAAGTAACCATATAAACTTAGGAATTATTGATTTGAAAACTGATTGCAGGTACTTATCACTGCAACCTAAAGAATGAGAACTCCATGACTATTATAATCAACTTAGCGCATTTACATACATACCATCTAATTCTTATTTATTTACATATCTAACATCTAAACTTTAACTTCTACATTTAGACAACTCAAATCTTTTGTGTCACATCAAAAATACCACTATTTTAAGTTTGAAAAGGTGAAATACACCTTTTCATATATGTAAAAATTGAAGTTTAGGTGTTAGATACATATAAATACAACATAAGTGAGTGATATGCATGTAAATCTTCCTTAATTTTTACCTTATAGAGTAAGTGTGTTGTTCGCTAGTGCTTTCCCGAAACTCTTTCAAGTAAAGAGGATACGAATGGTAGCAAAAGTCCGCAAAATCTCTAACCACTGTGCAGCTCCCTTTGATGGTTCCCCATGTTCCATCCTATTTGATATTCAAGCAGGTCTAAAAACTGTTGATCACTGGAACTGAATTGAACCAGAAAACATGAAAAAAACAAAACAAAACTTTTTTTTTTGCTTACCACAATGCTATGGAGAAACTTCTTCATTTCAGTGTTGTGCCGGAAAGCCTCAAAAGTGGATACCAATGGAGCGAAGAAACCATAGCCAATTCCTATGAGGATGCTCCCGGCGATGCTAAGAGCTAACCACAGGCAAGATAATATTGGAAGAGCGAAGAGAACAGCCAATTTAAGAGCCGCATTGATCCGACTAGTCCTGCAAATAAAGCAAAGTTCAAGACACCTGTAGAAAGCAATTGCGCTGTATAAAGAGTGTATTTTTATTTCTGCGTGATTGATAATACAGAGTGGGAAGGGTAGATATGACAATATTATTCTGTTCAAAAGTTTTTTTGCCATCATTCCTCTGCAATTCGGCTCCACATTTTAGCATAATATCTGTGAAGGAAATGCAAAGCAAAGCCTCTCAAACTGACTTTAAATGTGAATGTTCGTAGGGCTTAATTGAGATCATTTTTATTTTTTGCTTTTAATTTGTTTTTCTATTATTTTAAAAACATGCCTACTAAAAGTATTTTTCACATTTTTTTTATTATTTTTTAGAATAAATGAATTTATTTTTAAAAACACACGAAATATATTTTAGCAGTTTTGAGTTTGTTTAATAACAACTGCCACTACCGCCCATTGCTATGGCACCATCCACCACTTCGTTAGAGTTATTATTGTCTTACTAGCCACCGCAGTTGTTTTGGTAATGACCACTATCATCACAACATAAATCAATTTATTCAATTAAAATAAATGCATATTTTCAATACATCAAACATGTTTTATTTTAAATCAGAATATAAACAAAAAAAAAAAAACTTAAACAGTCGGTTAGTGTTTTGGCAATATGAATATCTTATTTCAAAATAATGATTTTCACATGAAGATCTTGTTGGTTACCATCATCATATAAATCAATTTATACAATACAATAACAAGCCTTTATTCCATTAAGTGTGGTCGGCCACGCGAATCCAATTGAGTGTCATATTTTCAGTTAACATGCCCCGGTCTTATTAGGTCTACCTCTACCTTTCTTGAGATAAGTCAGATCTAGATATTTGCTCTCCTAACAAGGTCATCAAATGGTTGGAGTTTAACTTGACCAGACCATCTAAGGCGACTCTCTCTAATTGATCTTATTCATCACTGGAGCTACTCCAATCTTTTTATGGATATATTCATTTCACATTTTATCTTTAAGTGTCAAGTCACTCAGCCACCTGAGCATTCTCATCTCAGTAACACTTAACTTAATTTTATGCTTCTCTTTTAGAGGCCAACATTCTGCAACATAAAGCATTGCAAGTTCTCCACCATCTTATAAAATTTTCCTTTTAAGCCTAAGCGACACTTTTCTATCACGCAATATGTCTGACGCACTCCTCCACTTCAACCATCCAGCTTGAGTTCTACAAGTAACATCCCCATCTATATCAGCTTCACTTTGAACAATAGACCCGAGATATCTAAAACGTCCACTCTTTGCAATAACTTGATCGCCAATTGTCAAAACCCCGCCACTCGATCCACTGCTACTAATACATTCCATGTATTCAGTTTAGATCAATGGAAAGCCTTTAAATTTTAAAGTTGATCTCCATAAATGATTTTTTTTTTCCTGAACTCTCTCTCCAGTCTAATCCACAAAAAAAAAAAATATCATAAGTGAAAATATATTTAGCTTTAGATCTACTCAAATCAATCAAATCAGTTCGTTCAATAAAAATAAAAATAATACCTTTAAAATTTCCTACATTTTTTTTTTTTTTTTAAATCAAAACATTAAAAAAAAAACGAAACTTCCCCCTTAGTGTTTTGAAAATATGAATATCTTATTTGAAAATAATAATTGCCACATGGATCCCTGTAAAAAATTAATTCCACAGCCCCAGCTGGAATCTAAAACGACACCACAACTTATTGACTTTTCATCCTAAGGGCCCATACTATATATACTATATATGTCCCAAGCAGTTTGTTTTATATTTTAATCAGAAAACTCATCTACTTTCCAATAATATTGCTGTTGACTTTATTAGGCATGGAAGATGGCCTGACTTCTAACATATATCCAAAAAAAATTTATTGCACATAAGCAAATATAAATTCATCTGCAAGAAAACAAGATCAAAAGTGCCAGTGCCACGAGAAATAAAAAAAAATAATAAAAAAAAATAAAAAAAAAAACACTGTTATATGTTCTATCTAGGCTAGCTCAATTTCCAGTATTATAGCAAATAATCAAATGAAATACAGCAAAAATTTACAGAAAAAATCCAGAAGTTATATATTTTACAAGGAGAAGCATATTCAATCAAGAAAACACAAAACTTGCAGAGCATAAAATCCTGCACTTAGAGCCCATTTGCTCACTTGAATTTACATTGCAGCAAAAAGAGAAAAAATGAAGCAAAAGGAAGAAATATTTGAAGAACAAAGCTCACTTGATGATGGAGTAGAGTGTCCAGGCTACATGAGCGGGAAAGAGACCGAGAATTACTCCAATATTCCCCAAAATCAGCAGCAAACCCGCTATCGGTCCGACCACTATCCCTGCAACAACAAAAAATTCCAAGAAAGCACAAATTTTTATTTCTAGGGTTTGTTCGAAAGCAAAAAAGAAGGGTTGTTTTTTTTGAGATTTACAGACCTTTAAGCGCTCCGATCAAAAGCGCAGAGCAGAAGGCGAAGGCTACGTAGGCAATCCTAAATAAAAACTTGATAGAATCAATCGGAGCAGCGTAGTTCTCTCGAATCCATCGATTCATCGAATCTAACGGCCGCGCGGGGGTCGACGACATCCTCGCCGGAGCGCCGGCTGTGATAACGGCATAGAATGGTCGGAGACTACGAATATAGAGAAAGAGAGCGGGAGGTTCGAAGCGGGGAGCAGTGGGAGATGGTGAGAAGAAAGAAAGAAATGAGCTTTGCGTGTGATTAGTGTGAATTGGTGGATAAAGAGCAGCCGGAAAAGGTAAGGTCTTTCAAAAGAGACGGCGGCGGCTTTTACCGTTGACATTGTGGACCGTTGTAATGGTTATCAGTTATCACCCCTTTCTTCAAAATTGTCAAATTTTAAAAAAGTATAGAAGTATTTGTTATATTTATGAAAATTAATATATTATTATTTTATGGGACAAATCATCCGGTTAAATTTTGTAATTTTAAAGAGGTCAAAAAGCTGTCAAAAAAAGATCGTTGTTCGCGAACAGTTCGTGTTCAGTTCGTCAATGAGTTCGTATTCGATTCGTTCGATAAGTAAACGAGACGAACGCGAACAAATTTTTTTCGTTCGGTTAGTTAAACGAACCAAACACGAACAGTGATGCGTTCGTTCGTGTTCGAATCGTTATTGTTTGAAATATAAAATAATTTAAAATAATTATATATATATAATTTATGATATTTTAAAATATTAAATTTTATAAATTATAATATATAATAACTTAATAATAATAATATATTAATATACTATATTAGTAATATACTAATATAGATATTATATATTTATATAATATAAGTTATATAATTAATATATAATATTATTTTTATATATTAATATTAGGGATGTCAAACTGGCTCGTCGTTCCGGAACAGCTCGTGTTCGGTTCGTGTTCGGCTCGTTCGTTAAGAAACGAACACGAGCTTATTTCAAACAAACTAAATTTTAAACGAACCAAACACGAACACAAGCTTTGTTTGTTCGTGTTCGGTTCGTTTACACCCTTAGTCAAAGGTAATATCATACTTCTAATGATATATGCATCTTAGAATATTGAATTTGATGTTTTTCATTTTAATTAATTTATTTATTGAGGTTTATTTTTTATTTCACCAACCAACATTCCAACCCACCTCTAATATACACCCTTCATATTTTTAATTTAATATACTTTCTAAGCATACTTTTTTAATACATAAAGAGTATCCTAACTATTTTTTTTTCATAATCTCTTTAACATTCAAAAAATCAACAATGTGTGACAATTGGTATGGGTGAATGGTGAGATGATCTTTATTTTTTTTTACTTAGAACATTTTCTATAAATTTCTATTCTAATAAGTTGTCTATTCATATATGGCACAAAAGTCTTGGACGTCCCTTTGATAATATACTTCATATTTTAAGACATCAGTTGAACTTTGGTTCACTAGATTATGACAAGTCAGATCAATATATGTCACAATTTTCCTTCAACTGTGTCGTATAACATATGTGATTGAATGTTAAATTTTTCTTCTAGCTTATAATCAGTATCCCTAGATCACAAGTATTATTAACTTCTCAAGTAGCCGGCAAGAAAGTAAAAGACATTTAGAAAGTTAGCACACAAGCAATCATTTAAAACGTCAAAATAATCTTAAGGATTTTCACAGAATGAATATAAATCATCACATTACTAAATCAAAAGAAGCAATGATGCTTAGTTCCTAGCCATGTGTGAAGAAATCAAAGCAACTTTTGTTGAAAGAAAATATGAAGTTTAGACAAATGAAGAAGCAATCAAACACGATCTTTATCTTCTTTTGCTCCATAATGTTCTTTCCTTTTACAGTGCAACGAAACTTTCATGCCCTTTCACAATAACAAAAATACAACTCTTACACACTCTAGACTCTCTCCTACTCTTTCTTAGTATGTTTGTCTTCAAATTTCATGGAATCCCTCAATGTGAATGATTTTTTGCTATTTTATGATCTTTCCCAGCTAAATTGCCAGAGAAACCACCAAAATCACCTTAAGTTGATGGAGGGTGCATTGGCACTAGCTAGGCAGTGTTGGGGTGTTAGAAACAAGAGCAACAGTGTTGGCATAGGCACCAGATTTGTGGCTCCAAAATATTACATTAGGGCATTGTGGCGCAATGCTGCTGGTCTCGAGCCAAGGGCGCTAGGGCTCTGTCGCGAGGGCGCTTGACCTCCAGCTCTGTGATGTTGTGTGCTCTGAAATTTATTGCTAGAAGGGGGTGAGTTGGACGTTGGAGCGCTTCTCATGGATGTTGGGGCACCCATCTTGGCTTAACCTGATTTTCTCCCATTTTTCCTCAATTATTTTTGTATTCTGCAAAAATATACAAAACATTCCTATGAAAAGCATAAAAATGATACATAAACTATGGAAAAATATATGAAACTTAACATCACATTTCACATTCATCAAATGTCCCGAAAGACAACGGCTTGGGTTCTGATGCACTGTAAGCGGTGTTAGCATCAAAATGAGCCAAAAACGATGTGAGCAATTTCATCAAAACTCATGGATGTCAAATCAACATTAGGTCATCAAAATGTTCACCAAGTCATTTCAATTTGCTTCCCAATTTTTCTTATTATCAAATATGCTTGTTAAAATTATATTGGTTTATTCCAATTAACTCTTTATTTCACCTCCCAACATTTCAACATACCACTAAAATAAACTCATATACATTCTTCCTCCATTTTCTAGTTTAATCTAATGAAAATTTTCCATGTTGTCCCCTTAAATTTCTCTATAATTATAAATAATAAAAAAAATTAAAATATTTTTAGTTATTAATAATTATCATTTTAACAACCACATTGCCTAATTACCTTTATGAAATTTGAACAAAACAATTACCATCACATCACTTGATTTGAAACGGCTTTGAAATATCATGTTAAATGTTTCTAGAAACATGAGAGGTGTAAGAATTTGGAAGCTTCTAACCCTTTCATATATATCCTCAATCAATCAGTAGGAACAAAAGTTTGGTTTTGTTTGAATTTTATACTTTGATGGTGACTCCATTTTTATTTTTATAAGCAAAAAATGTTTGACACTTACAATAGTTGTCTGTGGAATTCTTCCACCATATAACATGAATTTATTACAAGAATTACATATATACCTTTTAGTGGGAAAATTTAAGTCATTTTTTACATGAATAAAAATTTAATTTTAAGTCAATTTTTTAATTTTAAAAAAATTATAAAAACTGATATTTGATCAGTTTAATTTAATTAACCATAAGAAATATATATAAATATGAAAGCAATATCACTAATTAGCTAAAGAAAGCTTTTTAAAAATCTAAAATTTTTAAAAAAAGATGGACAAATACCTATAAGCATTTAATTAGTTGTTGATATTGTTTAAAGAGAAAGTGAATTAATTATGCATTGAAATATATCTAAAAAGGGAGAATTTGCAATGTAAGGAAACCATAAAAATCATTGCAATAATTGTTGTTAGTTAATATACAAACCATTAACTAACATACATGTGATCTTAAGCCCCATTGGCCTAATGGTTGGCTCGTTGAGGACTTCAAGTTTAAAGTCTATACATGCAATGTGCGTGCATTTGTGATTAAATTTATTCAAAATTCGCCAAAAAATATACATGTGTATTTGGAAGAGCCATAAACCACTTAATGTATTTTTATACCTAGCAACAAAATCTTATTCTTTGCATTTGTTTTAGCCAAAATATTTATGTCATATAAAAAATATCACTATTTTAACTTTTAAAGGTGAAATATACATGTTAATGTTCAAGTAAAGTGATGTATATGCAAAAATTCAAATTCAAAAACTGAATATTTAATAAAAGAATTGAATGATATTTATGCAAAACTTTCTAAAGTTTATGCCATGCAAATGATAATGCATGTAATATATAATAGGGGCATTTAAATACACACCACCCAACTCTTATGTATTTACCTATCTAACATCTAAACTCTAATTTATGTACATACACACATACACACACATCTAGAAGACAATTATTATGTATTTGCATATCTCACGCCTGAATTTTCAAATTTACATATATAACTTTTTTTTTGCTTTAAACCTATGCATGAAAAGATGTGTGAGCTTGAGCTCTTTTATTGTGTGTTAAGTATGTAAATGCGCCCTACACCAAAAATATGCTCATGTTGATCCCAAAGAGACCTAACATCATCGAAGGGTTGTCAAACGACCGAATGTTTGTCATGCGACCGAAGGTCAGCCACGCGATTGGCAGACAATCGAAGATCTGCCACGCGACTAAATGGTTGTTAGACAATTGAATGGCTCCCAGACGAACGAAGGGCCATTTGGGCCAACAAGGGACAGGCATCCACATCAATGATCAGACAAAGATCTAACATTCCCAACAAGCTCACAAATATCAACTTGAAACTCTCTCAAACAGCTCCCTAGAGATCAATAATGAACAATAATCAGGCAAGCAGACCGATTAGCCTTAAGGGAAGCCAAATTGGTCGCCCTAAGGCCGACCAGCTTCCACACTGAAGAATTGATCGGTTTACCAAAGCAAAGATTGATCGGTATCCAGATAAATGGTCGATCGAAACTAACTCAATCGGTCGACTCGAGAACCTACCAATTAGAAGATTCAAGCACACGAAAAAGTGCCAAAATCGATTATGAATACGAAAAGGTTTGAAAAAGATAATAATAATCCTTAATGTAAGTAGAGACAAGCATGTAACTTTAAACTTTTTCACCTCCATGGCATGTATTAGGAGCTTTTCCCTCCATCTTTAAGCTTTTGGCTTTTCTCTAAAAGCCCATCATATAAATACTCCATTTCGCCTCTACGGGGCAAGTCTATATGCACTCTCCTTCTCTCGCCCTCTATGTCTCTCGCTCTCTCTCTCTCTCACTGTTCCTACCACTCCAATTTTTTGACATGCCTCAGAGGACAAATTTGAATTCAACAGCTTCTATTTTTAAATACATTCCCCGCACATTTTACAAATCATAAACTGCCAGAATTTAGACCCAGACAACAAATTTACATCATGCAAAATAATATACATTACATCAGGCCAATGCTTATTACACTTAAATGTTCAAAAACGCTACAGGAATAAATCACATCATTTACACATTCTTCATTCACGATGACTAAAACCACAACTTAGAACAGCTACAAAAGTAGAGCTACTCATTTTTACATCAAGAGTTCCTCAATCTCTTTCGCTTAATATAATGTCTTACAACCTCGACCGTCTGATGCACTTGATTTGATCAAACGGGCCACGTTGTTCGCACCTTTTAGTCATGGATGGCATCAGCTTCATGTCCCAGCCTTCAATGTTCCTAGGAACACAAACATCAAAGAGTATCTGGCTGAGGACTCCATGAGGCTTTATACTCTCTGGTTCATAAATGGCAGGTCTGGTTTCACTCTGCTCCTTCGAGCTCGGAATGAAGAAATAGTTGCTCGGTTCGACGGTGACTCTCATTAAGCTTTCGTTTGAACTAACTGTGGTGCCATGGCGATAGCAGGCTGATTCGGGTACCTTGCTATTGTTGGCTCTGTTAAGCTGCTTGGTCGAAAAGTTGAGAGATGCCTTCGCAAGAAACTCATTTACAGCGTCCTTATATTTGCCTCGATGGTGATCATAATGTGCTATTAGAGAAAGCAACACGGATGATGTTAATTTGCAGTCCTCTCAAAAACTTGGAAAACACGAGGACAACTTTGTTGGTATTAAAATACTTGGTTTATTAAGAATTGGTTCATGTATGGTTTAATTTTAGTCCCAAAAAATATAAAAGTACCAATTTAGTCCCGAGATTCTTTTAATGGAAGCTAAAATAGTCCTCCCTGAGACTATTTCAATCTAAAAATAAAATGTCTAGGGATTAAATTGACTCTGGGACTAAAATGGCGCATTGCAAATAGTCAGTGAACTATTGTGGGATTTTACGCTACCCAATTATAAATGAATGTGTGCAACACTTCAACTTCTGTTCCATAAACTACTGCCACTAAAAATGATTTTTGATCTATATTACTTCATTGATAACAGCTTCCAAGTAGATCTATTCTATATGTAAGTGGGGTTTTAAAGATATAAAGTTAAATCTAAGGAGAATTTATTGTCAATAATGCAAGGAATAACGCATGAGCCATAAGTTTTTCTTACGTGTTGCAAGTTTGTATATTAGCGAGGCATTCGAGAGTTGAAAACGAGCAAAGTGCCAAAATAATGCCCTCACTATTTACTTGGGATCGTTTAAATTCTAGAGGTATAAAAATGTTAAATTAGTTCTCAAACTCTTTTAATTGAGGCTAAAATAGTCATCTCTTGGGACTTTCAACTCATATGGAAAGTGTCTGGGATCAAATTTACATTTTTATGAACTTTAGTACTAAAATGATCCACTATAAAAAATTCAGGGGCCATTTTGACACTTATTCTCCTTAAAAACCCAACGGTTCGACAACACATTATGGAAAATAAGTTTAGGGTTTAGAGTTGCTCAAACACTTGCCTACATGAGAAGAAGTGCTCCAATTGATAAAATTGACGTCTGCGCCAAGTTCTTGCAGACGCTGAGCAAAACAGCGCACAGTTTGGATTGGAGCCAATTTATCATCTTCAGACAAAGTACGAGGAAAGGACCCATGCTCTGCACTCGGTCATTCCAAAAAGTTGAACAAACTCTTATATTTAATAAGGCATTTACATGCACACCACCTAATTTTTATGTATATGCATATCTAACACAAACTTTACTTTTTACATTCATACCGCCCAAATCAGAAGCATCACATCAAAAGTACTACCTTTTAAAATTTTCAAATGTGAAATACACCTATTCATGCATAGGTATGGTGGTGTATATGTAAAAATTGAAATTAAGGTGTTAGATATGCAAATACATAGAAATTCAGTGCTATGTATGTAAATCTTCCATTTGTTGAGTAAACAAAGCTGAAAAAAAAAATAGTCTTACAGCAGATGTGTACAAAGCCTGCCAAAATTCAGCGCGCCGTGCTTCAAAACTGTTGAGGAAGAGAGCGTCCAAACCATATGCAAAAGCTTTTGCCATCCATGATACCAATCTTGGAGGATTCATCATATTAAGAAATGATGAACGAAGCACAAACTGAAGGTTAAGATCATCGCTGAAATTGGCTGGACTTGAGTCATAAATTTGCCCGGATATGCACTCTTAGCAACTGATAATCACCCTACAAGTTCATCATCGTCATCATCATCATCATTATCAATCTTCAATTTTTGTTTTTTAATAGAAAGATTTACATACATGCCACACAATTCCTATGTTTTTACACTACCACCGCTCTACCTATGCATCAAAAGATGTATTTCACTTTTAAAAAGTTATTGTAGTTGTATTTTTTATGTGATAAGAAATATGTGAGTGTTTGAAATGTAAAAATCAAAGTAGATGACTTAGATATGTGAATTTATAAGAATTTTGTCGTATGTATGTAAATGCCCTGCAATAATAATGATGTTGTATGAGATTTTAAACTTATTTTGCCAAATCATCACAACTTTTAGCCATGTCAATTTTTTATCTCTTATATTCCTTCATAATCCTTCAACAGTAATATATCTACCCATAATATTTTTGTGTTTTACTTTTAATTATATATGTCCAATTAAGCTATATCAATCCTTCATTATCTCATCTTCCATAAATTTACTCTCATCATCCCTCTATTATAATTATTTCATGATCCATCCTAACTTTGCTGTACATCAATCTTATATTTTCGTTATGTCAAACTCAATGAGGCTAAGAACAAATTCTTTACCACCAAACAAAAGATCCATGCAGCAAGGCCATCTTACTTGTAATTTCACATAATGCACCCTTACATATTCATGATATTCTCCCATAGTACTCCTAATGCATTTCTTCATTTTAAAAAACACACAAGATCCGCAAACCTGTACTCTCAACCATTCTCCATTTGCCTATATAAGAGATCCAAGATCCTTCACATACTACACCTAGTTATCACTTGTTTTTGGCAATCATGATTGACAATTATTAATAACATCGATCAATATTGCATATCCTATATCAAATAATTGCTCTAAAGATATCAGTCCTTTTTATCTTAAAAGTATTTTTAGCAAAATTTTCAATTGATTAGAACTATAATTTATATGGATCTCACTTTAAATAACCTTTATATGCATATCAAAAATAATTAAAAAAAAGGATATGGATGTAATGTTATCCTTAATATGATACTATTATAACAAGGGAATCAAGGAAACTTTATCCCTCCACAATTATTTATGATGATAGTCCATGCTTCAAAGTTCAATGTCTTACTGACATAGGCATTTTTTGTTTCTTAATATTAACTGAATAAATTCTCATAGGACTTGAGATCAATTCAAATTATTAAAACATTGGTCTGTGACAACATCAAATAACAAAAATAAATAAGTTAATAAGAAAAAAAAATGCCATATTATCCATATATTTCCATTAATTACCTTAATAGAAAAATAGTCTACATAATGAGTCTTTTTATCATAAAAATAGATTATTTGCTTATTGTTTTTGTAATTTTTTAAGACTTGTGTTCTATAACTCTCTACCATAATTTAAAACATACAATAAGATGTCTCACTATTTTTTAAGCATCTTAATAGCAAAAATAATAAAATATGGACTTAATATTGATCCACAATGAAATTATATTGTGATTAAGAGCTCTATCACCCCATAACAACAACTACTAGTGAATGCCACACTAAACATATCTATAAGAATTTCAAAATATACTTGTTGTGCATACCTTTTAGTCTGAATGCACACCAGATAAACTCTGATACTATTTGAGTTCAATAAAAATCAAATGAAGATCTTCTCTTTGTTCACTTTTCTCATTAATTGCTCTAACATAAGAATTTCGACATAGTCAATCTTCCAAACAAAAGAAAAAAAAATGCACTCCTTACTGTCAACATAATTTTTGAAGTCTTATGTCCGATTACTCCCTCCCATAATTTCATTTTATAACTAATAAATTTGATTCCCAAAAGCTAAAACAATCCAAAATATCTCCCTTATTTTAAAGAATGAAATTAAAATATATCTTTTCCAATTGTTTCACATCCTTTAAATCGCCAATTTTTTTTAGAACTTTTGAGATAAAATATTGAAATACCACTCATAGCTTTTCAAATGTTGACGAGTATCATTTGAAATTGAGATTTTATTTTTATGCATCGTTTTTAGAAGTCACTCCACTTCACCTTTAGGGATCATCTTTATTGTACCACATTATTAGTTTCAATATACATTCTAAAACAAATTCTACCTTAAAAATCAGTTAATAATTTCTAATTACAACATTTTCATACTTCCTTGATGTTTTGATCTTTAACTATGATCTTATTAGCAATGATTTCACTAAAGCTAAATGAATAAAAGTGTCTGAGTCTCTTATTATAACTTACCGAAACTATTTATTCCTATTTTCCTCCTTCTCAGTATCTTTACAAAAGTTCTAACTAATAAATCTATTACCACTCTATTTGCAAGACTTTAACTTATAATCATTATAAAAATTGATAGTCTTTACTTTTGCAATCCTTTAAAAGCACAATTATTTTTATTAAAAACATAATGCTACCTCCTCACTTGACTACTAAACCTCTTTTCTAATGGATCTTTTTATAGACAATCCTTAAACTTTACTGACATTATTATCAATGAAACTAGCAATTTATTCCACAATACGTTTAACTAAACCAAGGAATCATGACATCTCTTTTAGAAACATTGTCATATTTTACAAATTTCTCACATATTTTCCATAGTCATATCCTAGAAAATTTTTCCTTCTAACGATTTAATCCATACTCATATGACAAAGATCCATAACTAATCATTGCTGTGATTATAATCTATCCCAACTCGTGTTACAATTATTGCAAAATATATTTTCTTTCCTTATAAGCAAAAAGAAAGTCCGTGGTGATTTGATCACTTTGCACCTCTCATTCATACATGTGTCCGTAATAATATAAGATCATATGCCACAACAAAACCAAACAAAGCATTATTCGTCACATTTATGTCCTACAACGCTCATCATGAATCCTTTTAAAGCTAATCCTACTAAAAACTCATTTAAGAAAAGCACAACATATCTTGTAATAGTTCATTTACCTGACCCAAAATTTTGATTTCAAACTATTCTTTAATCTAATTTGAGAAAAAAATCATTCAAAAAATTCAAATATAGTTACCAATAATTAATTCAATGAAGATAACTGTGGCACCTACTATGTTCATCTTAACAATTTTATTATTCAACTCACTATCTACTACTATCCCAATCCAATTTTTGTTGTTACTATTTCCAACATGCAAAAAACTTGGCAATTTCTAATGTCCTTAAATTTTTTATCTTTCATTAACGATCTTGCAATCAAGCAATTTTTATTCGTGTTATGGTATGACTCATATACCATATAGAGACAGACACTGGATCGAAGCAGAGCGGAAGAATCTGTCCAAATTGGGAAGTTACGTGGGTTGGGGTAAGGGGGCAAAGCCCCGCGGTATGGTACAGGAGTAATGTTGTGATTACATATTGTGTCTAGGGTTTACTCCTGGGGTTATAAATAGGTCTGTTAGTAATCCCAAGAGGTATCCCTGATTTTTGTAAACTCTTTTCTGAATATTGAAAAGAATTCGCCGCTCTGCTCCCGCGAGGACGTAGGCATAGGCATCTTTGCCGAACCTCTTTAAAATCTCCGTGTTCTTCTGCATTTGTGTCGTTACAGTTTTTCCTCGCCCTAATTTTCTCAACAAGTGGTATCAGAGCCAAGGTTCAAGGGCAAGGAAGAAATTTCGTCGGTGCGATGAAGAAGATTTGGCGGCTAGGGCAGAGTTCTGTCAGAGGAGTTCCGCGAAGGAAGTTTCGCCAACAGACGAGATTTGCGAACGGCGGATCTTGCAGGACGCAGGCACAGATTTTCGCGCAAAGGGTAGATGTTTAGCGTGAAGGGGTTTTTGGATCGGGGCTTTTTCGCGACGCAGGAGGAAGGGAGTTTCGAGCAGGCGAACCAGAGAGGAAGAGTTTTCGGCGGAGGCTTACGACAGGCAGAAGCAGCGAAAAGCGGAAGCTTCTACGACAGGTCGAAGGATCGTGAAGGAGGCTTTGCGGCAGGAAGAGGACCTCTCGCCTTCGCAGGTCCGGCTGAGGCGTTCGCGGGTTCAGCTGAAAATGAGGAGCAGAGGCCGCAGCTGCCAATCGTGCGCGCAGAGGGGGGCTCAGCGCTGATCGCGATTGGAAAAGGAAAGGAGCGAGGTCAAGAACGGAAAGGAGCGGGGAGACGTGATTTTCCATTCCTGGGCGGAGGAATCATTCCCTATATTTGGCTCCGCTGAACAGGAAAGTGGGGAATCAAAGAATCTAAATCGGAAAGGAGCCTGTGCTTTGAAAAAATTGGAAAGGAAAGTTTTAAAAATTATGTTTATTAAAAGTATTTAATTAAGGAAGTTTGCTTAATTAAATTTCTTTAATTAAGCTTTTCTTAATTAAGGGAAAAGATTTTCCTTTTTTTTAAGAATTTTTGCAGAAAAATTTACAAAAGTTTTTTGTTGCAGTATTAATTTTCAGATGACATTTTCTGGTGTGAAATTCGAAGTTGTGAAGTTCGATGGAACTGGTAACTTCGGATTGTGGCAAACTAGGGTAAAAGATCTGTTGGCGCAACAGAGAATCAAGAAGGCCCTGAGGGCAACGAAGCCAGATGTCATGGATGATGAAGGTTGGGAAGAATTGCAAAAGCGAGCGACAGTGACGATACGCCTATGTCTGGAAGATGAAGTAGTTATGTATCACGTGATGAATCTGAAATCTCCATGAGAAGTTTGGAAGAAACTGGAAACTCAGTTTATGACTAAATCTCTGACGAACAAATTGTATCTGAAACAAAAGTTGTATGAGCTGAAGATGCGGGGATGTTCTGATCTGGCGCAGCACGTGAATGACTTCAACCAAATAATCACTGATTTATCACGGCTTGATGTGAGTATTGAGGATGAAGATCGAGCGGTGATTTTGTTGTGTTCATTGTCCTCTTCTTATGAACACCTGGTGACTACTCTGACATATGGGAAAGAGACTATCAAAGTTGATGAGATTACTGCAGCGTCAGAAAGTAGGGGAAAGCTCTCACAACGACAGTTTATATGTTAAGGGTAAGCAGGATCGTGGAAGGAAGAAAGAGAATGAGCGTTCTGGAAGGCGAAATTCCATATCCAAGTCCAAAGACAAAAAGGCAATTCATTGCTACAGTTGCAAGGAGTCGGGTCATATAAAGAGAGATTGTCCAAAGCTGGAGAAACAGAATCGGGAGAAAGGTGATACTTCATCGAAGTCTGTAAATGTGGTGCAGAATGATAATTCAGATTGCAGTGATGGCGATATGCTCTCAGTTTCATCAACTCAGTTCACGGATGCATGGATTTTTTATTTAGAGTGCTCTTATCACATAACACCTAACAGAGAGTGGTTTATTTCATACAGGCCGACTAATTCTGACTCAGCCTATTTGGGTGATGATAGATGTTGCAATATAGTTGGTATTGGAGAAGTCAGAATTCAGATGTATGAGATGTATGATGGCACTGTATGATGGCACTGTTAGAACGTTATGTGATATCAGACATATTCCAGATCTGTAAATGAATTTGATTTCCTTGGGCACTTTACACAGAAATGGTTTTATTCCTAAGGCTAATGAGGATAGGGAAATCATCAGAATTGTTAAGGGTGCACTGACTGTGATGAAAGGAAAGTTGACTGCAAGAAATATCTACAGACTGTTAGGGAGTACAGTTGTAGGTGGAGTTCATTCTGTGGAATCAGATAATGACAGTACAAAGCTATGACATATGCGTCTGGGTCATCTCAGTGAACGTGGGATGGTGGAATTGCATAGAAGAAATCGGTTGTATGGAGTTAAAAGCTGCAAGCTCGATCTTTGTAAGTTTTGTATTCTTGCAAAAGTTCTGTATTCTTGGAAAACAGACTAGAGTCAGTTTTATGACTGGAAAGCACAAAACAGAAGGAATTCTTGACTATGTGCATTCTGATGTATGGGGCCCTACTAGGGAGTTGTCATTGGGAGGATCTCAGTATTTCGTTACATTTACTGATGATTTCTCCAGAAAAATTTGGGTGTATTTCTTGAAGCAGAAATCTGAAGTATTCTCTAAATTCAAGCTGTGGAAAGCTGAGGTGGAGAACCAAATTGGTAGAAAGATCAAATATTTGAGGTCTGATAATGACATAGAGTATACAGATTCACAGTTTCAGAAGTTATGTGAGGAGCATGAGATTCAGAGGTATTTTTCAGTGCGGAAGACACCAGAGCAGAATGGTTACTTCAGCAGCATCAATTGGCTACAGAGGCTTTAGTAGAAAACTAGAGTTGTGAGTCGCATAGGTCATAGTTGGTCACATAGGTCGTAGTGATGAGTTGTGATCACGTCCATAGGCTGTAGAGATCATATTCGGGAGCTACATGAGCAGTGAACCACATAGATAGTGATTAATCGCATAGGTCATAGTGGTGAGTTGCAATGACGTCTGAAGTCCTCAGTAGTCGAAGTTGAGAGTTGCACGAGTTGCGAACCATGTAGGTCATATTTGGTCATTTAAATCCAGTCATGTAGGTCAAGTTGATCGCATGAGTATTAATAGTGAGTAGTGATGATCTCCACAGCTCGTAGAGGTCAGAATCAGGAGTTGCACGAGTTATGAGTCATGTAAGTCGTAGTTGGTCATGTGAACTATAATTGTGAGCTATGATGACATTTGTACGCCTCAGAGGCCGAAGTCAAGAGTTTCACATGCTATGATTCACATAGTTCATACTTAATCATGTAGATCGTAATGAGTTGCGTAGCTCGTAGTAATAAGTTGTGATGACGTCACAGAACGCAAAGGTCAGAGTCAAGAGCTGCACAATATGTGGACATGTAGGTCATAGTGGTGAGTTGTGATGACGTACGTAGGCCACAAATGACAGAATCAAGAGTTTCATGAGTTTTAGACCACGTAGGTTGTAGTTGGTCACATAAACTGTAGGGGTGAACTACTAACGTTTGTAGGTTGTATGGGCCAGAGTTGGGAGTCGCGCGAGCTCTGTGCAGGTAGGACATTGTTAATCACGTGAGTCGTAGTCGTGAGTTGTGAGGAGAGAGCTTTAGGAACCCGAAGAAAGTTATCATCTTCGGGGTGCACTGTTGCCCCGTCTTCAAGAGGCATTGTTGCAACGTATGTGGGGTGCATTGTTACACCGTTATCAGGGTGTGTTCTTACACCGCATTCAAGATCAATTGTTACACATTTTTTTTGCGTGCGTCATTGCACGGTGTATTGGACGACATATTGATCTATCGGTTGTTTCAGCATTCCGCAACGAATGCTTTGATTTCACAATACATGTTGTAGCATCATAAGAGACTTCACTGCAAAGAGCAAGTAGTAGTTGATGGTGGTCGACGATAGTCGATAGGTGGCAATTAACAATGGTTGGCGGCTACAAGAGTAGAACGTATTCAGCGGATTTGGGGTGCGATATTGGACTTTTGATCCTCCAAGATTCAGCCTTCTTTTAGCTCAAGGTTTCCCCTCTCTCTCAAGAGGGGATAAGATGTTATTTATAGAGACTGTGTGAGATCTCTCCACAAATAAGAAAGGAATTTGAGCCACTTCATCGAATGACCCGAAGAGATTTTCTTAATCGAATGTCGTTCGGTAGACATTTGAGTAACTTAATGATGTAATAATTAAGTGATCTTGGACTTGTTAAATGCTAGATTTGACTATAAGTTTGTCAGATTTGGAATTTGTTTGACATTTCTATTATGCACTGAAAGCTTGTATAAGTGATTTAACGGCTTGATTTGGGCTTGATTGAACTCGGATCGGACCAAATTTGATATCATTGGATCTGCCTCCTTGAGCTGGTTTATTTAACTGTAAGTTTACTGAAATCGGAGTTCTTGATGACTTTAAATTGAAGTTTGAATGTTTTTTGCTCAAAAAATTTGTCTCGAGACTCGTGTTAGATTATATAAATTTGTTGATGGTGTATCAATATATATAAGGCAATATCTAATACTTTCTAGTATCTTTTTTTTTAATAATAGATGTGCCCCAAGCTCCTTGTTCATATGGATGCCTCATAGAATCTGCCCCTTTAGACATCAAGGAATCACAAATTAAAAATTCTATTAGAAGCATGAGTTGGATTTACTATTTTCTCACTGCACATCAAATACCTTTTAGGACAGCCAGTGTATTTTTGAGCAATTATAAATCATACATCATAAATTAATTTACATGGCAGAAGCAATAAATAAGAAAAAAGAAATGTTACAAAAGGCTTCCGTAATAATGAACACGTATAGTGGGAAACAGGAATCATGGAGTTTGGCCCATTTCTTACATGAACTTGAATAGCTATTTCACGTGCTTCATTGTTATTTTAGTATAATGAACATGCTCATAAATGAATTTGATGGAGCTTGCTGCCACAATTATACAAACCTCAATCAGCTCATCAAGAACACCACAGGCTAGTTCTGCCGCCTTCTCCGGGAAAAACCTGCATGTTATTTAATTTTGAGTAGGAAATTGTGAAGAAATACCTAATACAATCAAAAAGTGACGATCTGATATGATTATCAAATATATACATAAACTAACCAAAGTTTGTCAAAAATACATGGTGGTTACTAGAGTAAGCTTATTCTCAGTCTGCTTTTTACTTATCTTAACACATTAAGAATTACAAATTTAAATGATAGAACAAGTTTATATGTGTTACGATTTTGACTCCATTTCAAAAAAGAATAATTATGAATCTTGCTTCGCAATCCTTACTAACAAATTTTCGCACAAAACACCAACCTTCTTGACAAGAATTTTGATTGTCCATAGATGTTTCACAAGCATCCTCTGCCTCAAATGTTAGCCAGAACTCTAGTCAAAACAACATAAAATGATAACAGATTGAAGATAATCTTTTAAATTCTTATTGTCTAGTTCTCACATAAGAAAGATTTCAATCCTGTGAATTTTAAAATTATAATTACACTGGCTTTCTATGTAAGAATCCTCTATGTTCGCTGTAAAAAATCAAAAAAGGTTTTCACTTTATTCTCTTCAGACATGTGATACAGTTTTTTTTATAATTCTTCACCCAAAACAAAAGAAAAAAAAAACCAAAACTGATAGAAGAAACTTACGTAAACTAAATTTACTTACTGCGTCAGGAAATGGACAATGCAAATGAGGCAATCCCATCCGAGAGACCAGTAGAGATCCACAAACGGCCTCAGATGCCTCTCCTGACTCGAGAACCAGGCGAAGAGCACCACAATCCCTTCCGCTTTCCTCTCTCCTTCATCTTTCTTCCTCCAGTAGAATTTTCCCCACATTGATCCAACCTCAGATGAAGTACAAGAGCAGCGCCGAGCTAGGGCTTACCTCCACCGATGAACCAACTCGTACCTACCGACCATCATCATCTTGATACAAAATAGCTATAATGTGTTGTCGAACCTAACTGAAAGCGCATGTACAAACCCTAGTAAGCTGATGAAAATCCACAACAGCGCATGGAGTTCCACAAACTCCATCTTAATCTGAAATTATCCAATAATAGCAATAACAACCTGAATATTTGGGTACGTAAGACATACGCAGAGTTGCGTACATATTAGGTTATTAGGGGGTACAGGTAGGTTACACTTAGGTTATACCCCTTGTAATTCTTTCTGTAACCTAAGTGTACCCTACCTGTACCATCCGAATAACCTAATATGTACGCAACTCTGTACCATCCGAATTACCGATTTCTCTCTCGTTAATCTTTGTTTCCATGATTGTATAGAATTTTCTCTTATAAAGGTAGCGTTTAACTTTAAACATTTCCTATAAACCATCGCCATAATCTGTTTCCGATCTTGCTTATCAAAATTATGATATGATAATATGTGTCGGATGATCGTTAACAATGAACATCGACAATTGGGTATTATAGGGTGATCAATTCGGCCTATCTTTTCCCACATTTGATGAATCGGCCCATACTAAAATATAAAGCTAGTTTGGCCCCTATTATAAGGCTTCTTATATTATCAACACAGAAAGCTTAGTTTGGAATAGTTTGGATCTCCAGGAAATTTTTTTTGCAAAAAATATTCAAAATTTAATTAAGAGTCATTCGGAGCTCCAACTTCAGCAAAATTATGGTCAAACTGATCAGCACAATGGAACGGACTCAATGATACTAACATTGATTTAATATGAACCAAATAGAGTCTCGATCAAGTTATTAAATCATGTTTGGAAGTCTTTCAGACACATTGAAAAGTCAAATGAATGTTGAATCTGACAAGTTCATAGTTGAATCAAGCATCTCAATAAAACGAATCCAACAAGCCTAAGATCATTCAATCCTGACATCATTAAAACAATTAAATGTCCATTAAATGCTAACTAATCAAGGGAAGCCCTCTGAGTCGTATGATCAAAGTGATTCTTATTTGTTCATTAGTTGCACTTAGAGTTCTATAAACAGAGCCCTACTTCTCTTATGAAAATGAGGAGAGCTTGAGAATTGAGGAGAACTTGAAGCATGAGGAAGAGCTTGAAACTTGGATAATGAGTTGAAGTCTAGTGTCAGCACTGGTTTACGTCATTTTCCAACCACCAATTGCCGTCCGTCATCGGCCACCACTCGCCGCCCGCTGCCGATTACCATCGGTCGCAGCCCCCTGCCGATTACCATCGGTCGCCGCCCACTCTTTTAATGAAGCATCATATGAAGTGATCACTGACGTCATCGAGTCACGAAATAACATACAAAGTGGTGTATCATCCTGAATTCCAACCTAACTCTAAAGGCGGTTTAACAACACATCACAAAGCGATGTAACAACACATCATGCATGTGCTCTTACACCTCCTGACTCCGGCTCCTGCTGTCTACGAATATCATTACTACTCGCTGACCAACTACGATCTACGTGGTCCACAAATCGTGCAGCTCCTGACTCTAGGCCCCGCTGTCAAACGTCATTATTACTCACCACTACAATCAACCTGCATGGTTCGCAACCCGTGCAGCTCCCAACCCCCTCCCTCATGGTTTACAGATGTCACTACTACTCATAATTACACCATACATGACCAACTACGTCCTACATAGTCCATAGTTCATGAAGTTTCTGACTCCAACCTCTGAGACTACAGACGATATCATAGCTCACCACTATGGCCAACAATGCTCCACGCAGTCCCCAACTCCTATAGATCTCGACTCCAGAGCCTACGATCTACAGATATCACTACTACTCACCACTACAATCAACGTGACTGACTACGACCTACATGGTCCACAACTCGTGCAGCTCTAGACTACAGCCCCAACAACCTAGAGAAGTCATTACTACTTGTGCACTACAAACTACGTGGTCCACAACTCGTGATGCTTCTAACTCCGGCCCTCACAGTCTACAGATGTAGCTGCTACTCACCACTATGACTGACGTGATCAACTACGACTTTTGTGATCCACAACTCTTGCAGCTACCTACTACGGCTTCTCTTGCCAATAAATGCTCTTAAATCACCATCTACAGTCCACCTTGCCCAATGTTGTCATGGTTATAAACCACGGCTTATACGACAAGTTGGTGTTACAACTAACATTTACAACAATCACGACAAACTACTGTCTCCACAACAATCTATTATGATCCTTACAACCTACTATTGCAAGGAACTACAACCATATTATAGTTATACAACCTTTTAACTTCATCCTCCAAAATTCAAGAAAAGAGTGAACGTATGTACTCATCATTCATATTATATTATTTCAACTATGGTAGACCCCATGATTTTTTTGCTTTCAAAAGTTCTCCACGTAAAATATCGATGTATCTTCTCCTATTCATTTCCTTTCATTTATTTGAGTGTCTGTTGAATTATCACGCAATGCTAAGACGATAATTTATTACTCTGCTGCTGCTAATTTTCTAGCTCGCATCATCATGCTTAAAAAATATTATTTCTCCAGTACTATTTTCAATTTACTTGTAAATGAGTTCTTATTACAATTAACAATACTCTAACACAAAGTTGTTCTTACTGACACAAATATTCAAACACAAATTAAAATAAAATTATGCACAACAAAACATAGTCGTCTTTTTTTCTTACAGATACGTGTTGGCTTACATTCACATTCATCTAATTTTAAAACGTTACACATTAATAAAGTAAAATAAAATTATCCATTCGACGCTATAATCCATCATCAAGCCAACTAAGCTCATCTCTAATATAAATGGCATTTACATACATACCACCATATTCTTATGTATATACATATTTATCATCTAAATTTTACTTTTTTTTTACATTTCTATAACCCTACATTGTTTAGATCAGGTAAAAAATAAAACCTTTTTTATTTTAAGTATATATATAAATTGAAGCTTAGATCTTATATATATATATATAGTCACCCTCATGTGTAACAACTCGATCTCATACCGTAAGGCAGATGCACTCAGGTAGGATCGAACTCATAACATCAGGGGACTTACGCTAGGCTACACTATCAAAGAATCAAGGCAGGTGACGCTATACATATAATATTTGCAATAAACAAGCTTTAGAAGAGAATAAAAAAAAAGAGTGGACTGACATATCTTTATAACAAATAGTAGATAAATTAATATTACGTTCGGTGAATAGCACGTGTAGACATCGATTACAATCCGATCATGTCATCATGCATTTCGCATGATCAGATCATCGCCTGTGTCAAAACATGTAGATATCAGACATAATAATTGTTTCAGAGGATGAGTCACCGTGAAAATTTACTTCTATCAGACCCCACTAAACCAAACCCTTACCAACACATGCCTTCTTGTCCTTTCATTTCCATACGCCCACCTAAAATGTTATTAATTGTTTTACAATTAAAGATCATCTTAATTCATAAGCAACAATTAATCGTTAATATGGTGGTTACATAGTAGAGCGTTGACTTTTTATGCTTTATAATATCCCAAATTGGCCAAATGGTAGAAATATATATGAATTATTTAGAGGAAGAAGTGAATATAATTTGCATCTTTATTATAATCATATTTGAAGCTTTTATGGAAAGGATTGGACCAATTTGCAAATTTTAATTGGACCAAATCTTTAACATCACATAAAAAAGAACACTATTAATTCTAACATTTAAGAAATGAAATACATTTTTTCATGCACAAATAAAACGACATAAATGTAAAAAATTAAATTTAGGGGTTTGATATGCAAATACGTAGGAATTAAGTGATTTGTATTTAAAACTTGCTAGTAATAACAATAATAATTGTTGTACTCAAAATTATAATAACCATTTTTTTTTTAAATTAAAATATAATTAATATTGAAATACTATAAATTTTTGAGAGATTTTTTAATATAGTATATGAAATCAAAGAGTTTAATAAAAATTTAAGAACGAGAATCTACATGTTCAAGCAATTATACGCAGAGCGCCCGAGATATTGTTATTTACAAGTCAAAGCCCCTCTTTCATTAATTTTCAAGTTCTCGCTCAAATATCAAAATTCATGATAAAATTCTAAGTCTTATTTTTATTTTCTCAAATTCTTAATGATTTGATCATGACATGCATAAATACATCACTTTGATAGTTCAAAAATTACCTGGGTGTTTTATTTTATAAATATCAATATTTATAACGCATTGTATGCAATCATCCTAAAATTGAATCGTCTAAATTTATTAGATACGTTTGAATGATTTATTTGAAAAAATATATATTTTCATGCAGCGTGAAGTGTCTTAATCTATACTGTACAAATACTTCAAATTAAGTAACCGTGCAATGTCGGACATGGATACGGCTCTGAAATTTGTTAGCCACAATAACGAGATGTCCAATTTAAATATTACAAAATTGGACACCTGTAAGACACATATGTTGCACATATGTCCTAAATTAATTAATTAAAATTTTCTAAAAAATATTTTATTAAGACTAAAACTAAAAGAAGTATATTTTTAGTAAAATTAAGGAAAGCTTATATCTAACACCTAAATTTCAATTTTTATATAAACACCATCTTAAGAAAATCTATATTTCACATTTTAAGGATGAAAATTGTGGTATATTAGAGGTGCTACAAAAATTTTGGGTGGATTCGTTTGGGGCAGCTTATTGGGAGGGGCGGCGTTTTGAAAACGACGCCTCCCTGTTTGTTTAAAGCGTTTGCACCGGTGTTCCTCTCCCGCACTACGTCGGGTTGGTTAAATCCCTTTACTCCTTCGACGCTGTCCGAGCTCCGCATCCTGAGTTAGCCATCCGCGTTGCCCTAGGAATTCCGGAGGTGCCCTCGATCTCCCTTGCCTCCTCCCCCGCTGGTTTCCTTTCTCGTTCGTCACCCTAGAGACGTCACCCTAGAGGAGATCGAACTTTCTTCCTTTCGAAATTTTCGTTCCTGATCATCAGGTATCCTTTCGATTACCCTAGCTGCGAGTCTTGTAATGCTTTATTCTCTGATTTTCTCTCTGAGCAGTGTTGATGCAGATCTTCTCTCTGAGCAGTGTTGATGCATGAAATGAAAATTTTTATCTTTTTCAGGGAAAATATGATGAGATTAAGGGTTTTTAGGTGTTTTGGGGATCCTGTGGCTTCTGGCATTTTCTCTGATTTTTTAGTTTTACGCATGTTGAGAGTTGTTTTGGGGATCCTGTGGCTTTTGACATTTTATCTGGTTTTTTCGGTTTTACGCATCTTGAGAGTTGTTTTGGGGATCCTGTGGCTTCTATCATTTCTCTGATTTTTCGGTTTTACCCCTGTTGAGATATGTTTCATTTTCTATGCCCCGATATTTTGGCATTTCAACTGGTTGTTTTATTTTGGTTGCTAGTTGTGATCATGGATTTGGTTTTGTCCATCTATTTTGTGGTTTTGACGATCCTGGATTTGGTTTAGCTGTTGCTTGTGTGATGGCAAATTATACAGTGACTTTCTGTTATAGAGTAATTTGAAATAAGGGAGTCTTAATTTGGCTATACAGTGGCTTGGTTATAGCGTTTGCCTTGGAATGCATATGCATTTGTTTGATGGAAGGAATTTCTGTTAAGCATGACAAGGATTATAAGGTTTACGATTCATATGCACAAGCTTATACAATTAGTTACAATGTTTGCTTATATATGGGGCAATGGTTATATCGTTGGATGTTACCTGTTGTACAACAAATCTGCGAATTCGTAATGTTGTTAATCCCTATTGATCAAATGGTGCTAATACATGTTGTACACTGTTACCTGTTATAGGGTTTAGGGTGCTAATCCCTACAGCAAGACTGTGAATTCGTTTTGTTCAAATGTCTGCTTTATGGGTTCTGAGGCCTGCTATATGGGTTCAAATAGTTGCTTTATGTGTTCTTATGCCTGCTGTAGGGATTTTCACCATTGATCAAATGCGAATTGAGAATTGATTTATGGGTTCTTATACCTGTTGTGGGTATATTGTTCAAATGCGGTATCAAAAGAGAGTTATCTGCCATTCGGTTTTTAGCAAATATGAAAAAAGAGGAAGAATGGAAACATGTTCCATTTTTATTTGTTAGTTTAAGAAATTTTATTTTCACCAAAGGGAGAAATGAGAGGGAGAATTGTAAGTTATATTATTCTCCCTTTATAGTTATGTAACAGTGTACAATTTCTCATTGTAGTTGTACTTATTTTTGTACTTTTTTTATTTCTTCTGTTATTTACAAGAGTGTGAGAACTATATGTTATCTTTGGGAACTGATCTGTAATAATTGTATGCTTTTGCACTATATGCTTCTGCACTACCAATAAGCTATTCTGAAACAATTTTAGCAGACAATGACAAGAATGTCATTTAACCACCAATAAATTAATATGAATAAGCTGCACCAAACAACAAGCCAGATTATTCTGATAATCTGCAGATTATCAGATTATCATAATAATCTGCTTATCAGCAGATTATAAATAATCAACAGCTGTGCCAAACAGACTCTTAGTGGCTGTTTGGGATCAATTATTATTTTTTATTATTTAAATAAAAATAAGAAAAAAAGTATTCGCATCTTTGTTTTTTATTTTATTACTATTCTTTTTTAAGGAACACTTATATTTTTAAAATACTCAAAACATAAAAAAAAATATATTTTTTGCCTATTTTTAAAACACTAAAAAGAGCGAGTTTCTTATCTGCCTCTCGCCACTAACCATTGGCCCTAAACTGCCGCCGTTGTTCATGGCGATTGTCCACCGTCGCCGCCCCAGCTGCCATCCATAGATGGTTGTCAATCGTCGCCATCTGTCGCATGCCTCCCACTGCCTCTTGCCGTCTACTAGCTGCCTGTCTGCCCGCAGGTAATACTTCGTGTTGGGTGGAGCAAGGAAAACGTCGTACACGTCATATAAGACAGAGCTTAATACTGGGGCGCATGTGGACTCAACCGTCCAACCAACATGTTTTATATTTTTATATTTTTAAAAACATATAAATATAACCCTACTAAATGCCTCTTTAAAAATAGAAAATAGAAAATAGAAAATAAAACAAAAATAAAATGTACTGAAAAAGAAACAAAATTAGAAAAACAGAAATTGATACCAAATACATACTTAAATTTTCAAGTAATATAAAATAATATATATTTACATTTTATATATCATAACTTAAAAAAAATATTTATGAACATCTTAAGAGCCAAATTGTAATCATTTTTAATTTTTAATTTTTAATTTTATTTTTATTTATATTTTGATTTAGTTAAAATTTATTTGATTGATATAATTATTTTTAAAAATATTCAAAAATATCATGTATATATTCTAATTATTTTTTAGTATATTTATTTTTCAAAATAGAAAATAGAAAATATAAAGTATAGAAATATTAAATGAGCTTTTAATTTTTAAAAATTAATGCTATTAAATTCTTTGCGTATGCAGTGCAAAAAAATAAAAAATAAAAAATAAAGATAATCCTAAAAAGAGAGTATTTTTGTTGCAATAAATATTGCCGTGTGATCATGCGAGCGATCGGAGTCGTCGAGTCGTTCGTCATTTCTCCCCTCTTCTTGTCAGCAGGTGGAGGGAGGGATTATAAAACGAAGCCAAGACTTCGCTGCTTGATGCGCAGCGCCGGGAAGTGATATGAAGACATCGCCGGCGGTGCGATGGCCAGGGGAGGGGTAGATTGGGTTAGGGGAGTTAAATGGTTCTCTTACAAGAGGATATTCATCGGCGTCTGCTGTGTGAATGTATTTCTTTCTATCTTCCTTCTGCGTTCGCTTTATAGTTCTTACTTTGCGTCTTCCTCGTCTTCTACCGACCAAGGTGAACCAATGAAACCCGTTATTTGGTTTTTGTTTTTTGGATGGAACATTGTTGTTTACATTGGGTGGGGTTTATGTGTGTCAGATGGTGTTTTTAGTGAAGAACAGATTAAGAGATTTGAAGAGTCGATTCGGATCCGTCAGGCATTAGAACCTGTGGAACTTGTTAGATTAGTAAGGATATATTTCTCTTTTTTAATGCGTTTGTATGTCTTGTTGATTTGTTTACTGATTTTCGATGATCTTTTGGTGTTTTTGGGCTGGGTAAGGCTAAGAAGGTGAAGAAGGAATTGAAGAGCGGAAAAAAGGGTTTCAAACTGTCAAAATCAGTAAATCAGAAATTGGCGCTTGAGATTCTTGCAAGGTTGAAAGGTTCGGGGTCTTCTGTTAATCTGACTAAGCAGCGAGGTTAGCTGATTTCTCATACAGTCGCAGACCGTGTTTTTTTTCCTTTTTTTTGGATTTTAGTTCTATTTATTACCATTTGCATTTGCAGTTTGATTCAATGCCTGTTTTTTTACTAACGTAAGAATAGTTTCAATGAGCTTTTTCAACACCTTCAGCTTGTATGTACCACTGATCTTGAACAAATGAGGGAATAACGAATGTTGTTTGTGCAATCGTCGTTTGATCTATCTTCTTGATCTTCTAGTTAGTACACAAGTTGTTATTATTATTTGAGTTTTATCATCTCGTCAGCATATTTTTTCTTTTATCCTTTTGCATTGTTTTATTGTTGACGTCTTCCATCCAATTGTTTTGAGGCTGGGCTTGCTTGCTGACCGGCCGGCCTTCATGTGGGCTGGAATGGCTACCTCTTCCCTCTCCCAATTTTCAATTTTACTCCCTTCCATATGTGGAACTTCTTCCTCTTCTATGCCTTTCCTATTTTTATTCCTTTCCTATTTATAGTCATTGCCTATTTCTCTTCCTTTCCTATTTATATTCTTTGTCTATTTCTCTTCCTTCTTCTTCTATTACCTGATTTTTTTTGTTCCCTTCCTAATTCCAACCCTTCCAGGCCATTCCTCGAGCCCCTCCAGGGCTTGTTCTTGCTGTTCTCCGGCCCTAGGCATCGGTCGCTGCTGCTGTTCATTCCCCTACCAGCTCTCTTATCCTTACTTCCCACAACCATTTGCTGCCAACCTCCTTCTAGCAAGCTGCCAACCCTCCTACGCCATCGAGCACTGTTGCCACCTGCAGTCATCCACCCTCCGGGACCATTGTCGCTTCCTTCCTTCCCTTCCAGGCTTGCCGCCCTCCTCTAGAGAGCAATTTATGTTTTGTGTTGTTTTTTTTTTCTCTTTTTGCAGCGTCATCGTTATTACTTGCTGTTTACCTGTTTGAGTTGTTTTATATTGAGAATTCGTTATTGTCGCTTTTGAATTCAACATAAAATTTGTCATTCGGTCATGGTTTGAGTTAACTCCAATATCATTTAGTATCAGGATTATTCTAATCCTAGTCCTATTATAGGAATTTATAACATTCGCCTTAAGCACCCATAAAAAATTTCTTTATTATTCCAAAATCATAGCCAAAACTTTGACTTAACCCTTATTTCCCTTGTTGATTTTTAAAATCAGCAACCCTAAATCATTTTTTTCATCATCTTTTGCCTCCCACTCTAAACTCTAACTATGCCACCAAGGAGAGACTGCCCGAGCCTACCTTGAAAGAGATACTATGAGAGATTTGTCGACTTCAGCGGTGGCTTGCGGACATTGAGGATGAAACCCAGGGGGAGATTATTCTCGACACTGGGATCTGGAGAATCGAAGGGGAGCAAGAGACAAGGGTATGAATCCTTTCCATAGGAAGGACATTAGTAAAGCAGAAGACCGGCCACAATGCTTTTGAATTCGGTATAAGAGGAGGCCGAAAAAAAAGCCAACATATGGAGAACGTGAGAATTTGAAGATGAAGCTGGTCATCTAGTGCTAGTTCCTACCAACTCACTATATATATACAGAAGATTCAGATTCTAGTTTTAGAAGTGAAGAGACCACATCACCAAACGACCACCACGCCTTAGAGGCGATGTTTAACCTTAAGATCTTACAGCCAAATTGTTCCCAAAAGAACATTCAAGCTGACCCCAACAGAGGAAAATCTGAGTCAAAGTGGAGAATTTTGAATCAATCCTCATCTCTAAATATGTCACAACCATGAAGTGTTGCAAGTGCTTTTGATTTGAGCATATTAAATCAGACTGCACGACCATAAGATGACATCTTATGTTATATTAGGCAGGGCGTTCATAAAAAATTGAGTAAAAAACATCGCAGACACTGAAGACTGTGGGGACACAAAGGAGGAGGACCAACTTCTAGGTGAGGAAAAAAGATGCAAATAGTTTCAACTGAGCGTGTAGGATAAACTTCAACCGGCTTCACAGTGAGTGACCAAATTAGTCTTGAGTTCAAAGAACTGACACCAGAGGCAAAATAACCTCATGTAAGTGAAATTCAAACCATTCAGATATATAGACTCATTCCCGAGTTGCCCCTACTGAGGGAGGTCCAACACGTCACAGATGGGACCCTTTTGTACCGTGTCGGGAAGATTACATTGAGTTATTCAAATGTTAAATTCAGTTTAACAGTGTACTCACCATAAGATGTTTAGGCAGGAGGGATGAACCCAATCTTTAAGTTTGCTTCAGGGGCTTGATGAGGAAGAAAATTTTTCAGTGGGATCAAGGTCCTATAAGTGAAGAAGAGGTATCTTCTGAGTGATTGCCAGTGAGAATGATGCAACCTGACATAATTTAAAGTACACCCCAGAGCTGATTTCTCATCATATATTGGTTCATCAACTACATTCTACTGAGTATGATAAGTGAAAGAAGAATGTTCCAGACTTAAGGGCTCAAGGGTTACATTGCGAGAACCTATATACAGTCCCGACTCAAGACATGCAAAGAGATAATGTACATTTATTCTATCAAGTCGTGCTGTGGAATGACAAAACCGACATAATCACCTATCAAGGGACTACACTATCTCTGCCCCCTTGAACGTGGCATACTTGAATCCGTGCTACGAGAAGCCAAAAGCTTCAACAAATGAAGTTGAAGCTCCCCCAACCCTTGAAAACTGACGCGGGGCTTGCTGGATGGCCAGCTGAACTGTTGTGTGGTGCCCGATTCAAATAAAAAAAAAATTATACATACTCCCGCTTCTCTCTCCCACGTTCGCCTCTTCTGCCACGATTCCCGTCTCATGCGAAATAGAAGCCTTACCTACCTCTTGTTCGCGAAATAGAAAAGCTTCTTCCTCCCCTCCCTCTCAGCGCGAGTTTCTGTTTGAAGTTCTGGTGATTCGATCGAGAAGGAAGGATTTCATTCTTTCGTTGAAGACAGGAAGGAAGGATTTCGTTCTTGCATTGAAGACAGGAAGAGCAAGGAGTTCTTGCTTGCGCTTGCATTGAAGACAGGAAGCAAGGAGTTCTTGCTTGCGTTGAAGACAGGAAGAATTTCTTTCTTGCGGTGAAGGCAGGAAATGAGTTCTTGTTTGAGGTGAAGACACTAAGAAGGAATTGTTGCTTGCGGTGTTTCCTTTCTTTGTACTTGTCTTCTGTTGTGGCTCTCAGATATAGAGAGAGGAAGTAAGAAATTTCTTTCTTGTAATTGTCGACGTGATCAGACGGTGTAATTTCTTCAATTAATAAAATCCTCTGCAATTTCGTGGATGTAGGCAATTTGCCGAACCACGTAAATCTGTATTCTTTTGGTGTGTATTTTTCTCGTGTTATTTTCACTTCATTGTCGATTGTTATATTTAAATTTCATATATACCACAACAACTGGTATCAGACCCAATGATTGCGGACGAAGTGAAGGTTTCAGGGGTCGAGAAGTTCGATGACACAAATTTTGGTTACTGGAGGATGCAGATAGATGATTACCTCTATGAGAAGAAGCTCTATCTTTCGTTATTGTGGAAAAGATCTGAAAGAATGGATGAAACTGAATGAAATTTGTTGGATCGACAGGTTCTGGGGGTTATTCGATTGACCTTATCGAAGCCCGTTGCATACAACGTCGTCAAGGAAAGGACAACTGCAGATCTTATGGCAGCTCTGTCAGGTATGTATGAAAAGTCATCGACAAACAATAAGATATTTCTGATGAAGAAGTTATTCAATTTGAAGATGGCGGAAGGTACGTCTGTTGTACAATTTCTGAATGATTTCAATACTATCACAAATCAATTATCGTCTGTGGAAATTGAATTTGATGATGAGATACGTGCACTGATCTTGTTGGCTTCATTGTCAATAGCTGAGAAGCTATGAAGTTGGTTGTCAGTAATTCTGCAGGTAAATCAAAACTGAAATTTGAAGATATTCGTGATTTGATTTTGGCTGAGGAGGTGCGCATGAAAGACTCTGGCGAGATATCGGGTTCGAGTTCAACATTAAATGTTGATTCTAGAGGGAGATTACTTGACAGGAACTCAAACAGGGAAAGATCAAAATCAAAGAACAGAAGCAGGAGCAAGTTAAGGCCTGATAATCAAGTAACTTGCTGAAATTGTGTCAAAACTGACCACATAAGGAAAAAATGCAGGAATCCTAAGAAGAAGGTGAATGACAATGCGAATGTGGTAACTGAAGAATCACATGATGCACTACTGCTAACAGTTCATAGTTCTACGGATGACTGAATACTAAATTTATGAGCTTCTTTTCATACAACTTTTTATCGGGAATTGATGCGAAATTATGTTGCAGGTGACTTTGGAAATTATATCTGACAGATGGAGAAGCTCTGAACGTGGGAGGAATGAGAGATATTGACATTGCACTTCCAAATAAGAACAAGTGGACTCTGCAAAAGATCAGACACATTCAGGAACTGAAGAAGAACCTCATTTCTGTTGGGTAGCTTGATGAATGTGGACATTCAATAGTTTTCTCATATAACACCTGGAAGGTTATTAAAGAAACATTGGTACTGGCTCGGGGTAAGAGAACAGGTACGTTATATATGACTACTGGTTTAATTAACAGTGTTGATACTACTGTTGCAGAGAGCACAACAGAGTTGTGGCATTGCAAACTTGACCACATGAGTCAAAGAGGTATGAAAGAACTTCAGTCTAGAAGCAAACTACTAGAACTGAAGTCTGTTGATCTCGGCATCTGTGAGAGTTGCATTATGGGAAAGCAGAAAAATGTCAGTTTTTTGAAATGTGGCAAGACGCCAAAGGCAGGAAAACTGAATCTTGTACACACAGATGTGTGGGGACCCTCCAGTGACATCTCTTGGAGGCTCTCGTTACTACGTCACATTCATTGATGATCATAGCAGAAAGGTATGAGTTTATTTCTTGAAGTGTAAATCTGATGTATTCAGTGTGTTCAAGACTTGTAAGGCCATGATTGAGACAGAGACATGCTTA